GCTCACAACTGATTTTGATTCACTTAGTATCTGTGCTTGTCAATCCTCTTCGGAACCAATGTCAGTAGTTTCGCCTATCATACAACCCTCTCAATCACTTATCCATATATTGTGCAAATTGAAAGGAACTTCTGATCACGAGTCTGATTTTGCCTACATTTTCCGACGGCACCCAGTTCCCTCATCTACTCTCCAACCGCGGGACTCGATCACAGTTATATCTGCTCGGGATGAAACGTTTTGCCTAGCAGCATATCGATATATCCTGACATTTCTGCTTGTTTTTACCTTATTCGGATTGATCATGCACCGTACCCATCCTTCACGATCTATCCTGAAACTTCAGCTTAGGGAAGCCCATCCTCTTCTTGATCGAGTTTCGTTCTTTCCTAATACTTCCCTCCGTCACCTTATCCGAAATTTCCTAGCACTACACTCGGAGTTCTGGAAATGGAAGTACAAATAGTCTGTCCATCTCCGGATATTCCTCTGTCGGTCACAGGTTTTCTCGGTTTCACATGGATCTGCTCTCCACTTCTCCTCCTTCGTTTGTAAGTAGCTTACATTTCGTCTACACTCTGATAGTGTTAGACCTCGGTTGTTTTTTATTATTGTTTTTTAAGTCGCCCACACTTCGGGTACTTATACAGGCGACTACGCCTATACCGTCAACACTGTGGTAGTGTTAGACCTTGGGTTTTTTTTGTATTACTTATTACTTTGGGTTTGCAGTTCGCATGCATCCACCACACGTAACACTTTTTATTTTTGTGCTTGCACAACGGATTGCGCAGAAGGTTCCTTCTGTGTCTTCATGTATCCGTACACGATATTTCTTGATTGTCTTTTTTTTATACTGATAACACTATGCTAGTGTATCGTTTCGCTATTTGAAAGACATATTTAAGCGTTAGATCTTGTATAGAATGACGCACATTTTTTTTTTTTGTACAACCTACGTCCACTTTTCGCTGGATCTTACATATTCATCATCTTTACTGATGTTGTCAGCCTTTCTTCATTTCCAACCTAATTCTGGTTGTTGATAGTTCCTATCTTTCATTGGTCCAATCCCTATTTGTTCTGGAGTCGTTCATCAAAATGAATGCATTCTCTCCTCCCTATCATCACCACTTAATTATTGGTGATAGTTCGTTACGTCATGTTCGGACCACTGACTTTCTCTTGTTTCTTGCATCATTCCCCTTAAACCATTACCCGGGAAATGGACAGTTAGCAAACTTGACCCACGTTACCAGGGACCTTGCCGAATTGTCAAAAGACTCGGTCCTGCCACGTATCAAATTCAACGCCTACCTGATGGTGTTCCTCTGGCTGATCGCATTAAACTACTCGATACCTCAGGTTTCCTCACTGCCCGTTACTACATGTCGTCCTTATGCCTCGATGTCGCACACCCATTCCTCCGAATACTTGTTCAAGTGTTTCGCGTTGAAGCACGCATCTTTCCAAACCTAGCACTCGTTATTTATCGTAATTGGCCCATGCTCTCGATTTTTTTTTATTTGTATTCTTTGTATTATTTTTTAAACCATATCCGCCATTTTACCACTCTATTGTGTTCCATTCTCCTCGTTCCCTTCTTATCGTTACCAGTTTTATTTTATTTGGTGTCTCTTTCTCTGTCCGACGTCAAGGCCACTGCTTATCTGTCTTCCATGTTCTCAACAATGCATGTTCTCCCACAATACACAAAACTCAATTAATCATTGTCCAAACTGTTTATTTCTTCCATCCTTCCTTTACAAAACACTCGTACTTCTCATCACTCATTCATTCCCTTATCATCCACGTTCACATATACTGACCAGTCACACGTAATTTAACAATCCACGTCTGACTCTTCCTGTCTAATTTTTCAAGGTTAGTTAAATTCAATTTCTCTAAGGTCATAACAGTTTTTTTTGTTTTTTTTCTCTTGTTTCTTTTTCTCTTTCTTTCTCTCATCACCAACTCTGTATCTCATAATTTCTCACTTTCTATTATTACCGAATTCTGATTGTTCACTCATCTTCATTATCATCATTCTCGTCATTATCTTTCCATCGCTCGCTGGTTCATCTCTTCTACGTTATTTTACCAACCCTTCATCTCACATCATGCCATCTTCATCTTCATCCACGTCATCAGTGCCTGTATCCACTTCCGCTTCTTCACCTCCAAGTACAGCTCCAGCACCTGCCGACGACGTCGACGAACTTCTCTTTACTGTCTCGTTTCTCGTTACCATCACGTCACACCTCGCTCAATCCGTTCTGCACCTACAACAAGGCGTTACCGACACATATTTGGCACCACCGTTTTCCCCGAACCAGTATTCTTCGTCACGCATTCAACGTTCACGCGATATTCTTCTCGACCTCACAGCCAACTGCATGACGATTCACCACCGCATCATCCATTTTATTCATCTTCATACCACGCTGCGCACTCCACAGCCGAACCGTCGCGTCCCCGTCACCTTTCCACCTCCTCGGTCATCGTGCATCACGCCCGAACTCATCTCCCTCGATTAGAACGTTAACTACATCATTCCGCGTATGTTTTTTTTTGTTTTTGTTTGTCTGTTTTTGTTATTTTTTGTTTCTTTGTGGTTGTTGTTTTTTCCGGTTTCTACCTTCTGTTGTTATGATTAATTTTTCCTCTAGGTTTTTTCGTTTTTCTTTTCGTTGTCTTTGTCATTTTTTCGGTTGTTTGTCCTTCCCTTCATTTTTCTATATCGCATTTTAATCTTGCACTGTAGCTGTTTCCTTTTCCAATTTTTTTGTTTTTTTACTCTTGCTCCGCAGTATCCGTGTGAGGGCACTCGGATCTCGGTGGGGGGGTATGTGACGATTCTTTGTCACAACCTCTTCTTCCAGTACGTACTTCTGTCGCTAGGACTACTCTCTTTTGTTTCGTTCTCTCCCTTGTCTGTTTTCGCTCTTTCTTGGCTTTCTTCTTTCGCTGTTCTTATCTTTTGTACATGCAGTAGCAAATATATATTGAATGTTTTTCTTCGGTTAGAGTTAGTTTTTTGTAGTTTGTGATAAAGAGTAGTCGAATAAAAGAGTAATACTACAGATCTTAACGCACGCATACAATCAACTCAAGGACTTATAATTAGAGGAAATATAGGTTCCTCACACCCTGAACATTTTTACTTCGTTTCACCATCATTGTGACGTGAAAACTTTAACTGATAAACATCGATTTTATTCAATTATTAGTAGATGATAAACTGCATCATTATCATTAAGTTCGTCATATATAGTTATTAGAACTGTTTACTTTTACCGCACGTGTTCCTGTAGTTTTCTAGAAAGCACGGGAAGTGTGTTATCTACACACAAATATGTGCAGTAGACTCTTCAGCCCATTGAACGTCTTATTTCCAAACAAAAAAACCTAGATCTTCCATCGAAATAATAAGTTCCATCTGTCTCTATACACGTTCACTCGATTCTTTGCAATCGATAATGATGTATGCATAAGAGCATATAAAAGTGATAAATATTTTCTTTTTTTAAGAAAAAACAAGAAAACAGCCATCCGATATGATTTGTTCCAATACCTGACAACAAAACTACGAAAAAAACATACATTAGTGCACAACATTGGAAGAAGACAGTGAAATGATAACAACTAAAGAGTAAGATTACAACATAACATCAAAAGCTGTTCGTTTCACTTGTTGAAACTCGGTTGTTTTCACGACATCATAAAAGTGTCGTGTGAAATCTGACATATAAAAAATCATCCATAAAACAAAAGTGCACCGGATAAATTATTGCACTCAAAGCGTTTCAGCAAATAATCCGTTGGAAAAAAGTAAAAAGAAGATTTGTTCTTAATGAATTACTGTTATGAAAAAAAATGGGATAAACATGTGTGAAGTGAACAATGAGATTCACATATTTGTACAATTAAGAACTATTACTTTAAAACTCGTTTAAACTCTTCCTTGTCAAGAAAAAATGAGTGACTAATTAAAGAAAATTATGCAATAGGTCGGAATTGAAAAATACATTTGTGATAACCAAAGAGCAAAACAATATTTTGAATAGAAATATAGTGAACGAAAATGAGAATAACAGATCCTATTTTTAACGAAACAGATTACAAAATAAACAAGTAGGACCACCTTATTGAGCAAATTGTTTTTGTGTCATTCTAATTTTTACTATTAACTATTTGGTGAATTTTCATTAATAAAATATATTTGACTTAGATTTGTTCTGCTAGATGCAAGACTATCATCAGTGGAAAAAGAACTGATATTTATATCACTTGGCATCTCTAACAATGAGATTGTTGTTGTTGATTCATTTTTATTATCTGATAATGAATATCGCCGCTGTTGAATTGTTGTTTGTTGTGTCACATTGCTCTGATTATTTACAGTGTTTATTGATAGTTTTCTGTCACGTTTTTTAATGAATTGTCCAATTAGATTGTGTGTGGATTCTTCGGCTGAATGTAGCATATCATGATCTCGAATGTTGTTGTCTTTTTCTGCCGTCTTTGTTTCTGATCGTAGAGGTTTCATTTTTTCACATGTTAAACTCGATAAATATTGTACGGGACTGGTGGAACGACTATACATACTTGTATCAATTGAATCTGTTATGGACGTATATTCATTTGTTTTAACAACAACGGTTGATACACATGGAACAATTGAATCACGACGATAATGTTCATTTTCTGATATGTTATTATTCAACAATTTAACGTTTATGTTAAGTTTTTTCAACGCTTTTTCTAATGGCTGTTGTTCACCAAGTCCTATTCGTTCATTAACAACAGCTGAAGATATTTTTGATGATGATATACGTTTAGATGAATGACTTTGTGGTTCGGCTGATGACTGTGTCAGGTTTTTTTGTGTATAAAATGGGTTGAAGGATGTTGATGGTAGCAATGTTAAATCATCTAATGATGAACTATTGTTCATTCTTCCATTAATATTACATGTGCTTATTCTCATTTTTGATGTTAGTGTTGGCTGAATAATGGATGATTCGTTAAAATCAAATTTAAAAGGAGAAATGCCTTTATTAAATAATATTGGTGAAAGAGATGAGCGCCGTTTTATCTTTTCAAGGTGTTGATAATATTGTGGTGATATACTATCATTAATTACTACGTTTGAATTGAATCTATTGGATAAACTTTGATGGGAATTACGATCGAGAACAGATGGAATTGAAATGTTTTCCATATTAAACTTAAAATTATTGATATTATTTGATTTATGATGAACAGAAGTTTCATATTGATTGTCATCGTTAAAATAAGAATTTGAAGCAACCTTTTGTCGACACTCGTCTCTTACCAATAATGGCGATGTCGTTTTGAACTGTAATGGAGAACCTGAAGCAATTGTTTGAACACTAGCGAATATTTGCAAATTTAATTCTTCCAAACGTTGTAAACGCCAATCAAGATTTTGTAAAACAATTTTATGGTGTGTTTCACGTTGATATATATCATCTGTACGTAATGCTATACTATCGACTCTGAATAACGAAAGAGATGAATGTAAGCCTAAATTTATTTGATTTCACTTCAATACCTTTCAGCTGTAGTAGCAACTAGTTCTGCTGTTGTATTTCGCACTAGTTTATCTTTGGCCGCAAAATATTCATCCATATTTTCTTCTTCAAAATCATGAATATCCGACACTTCTTTTTCATTTAGAAATAATTCTAAAAGAAAAAAAATATTTTTCATGCATGTAACCGTATAACGATTGTTATGCATTTAATTTGCTTACTTAGACCGTGATCAAGCTTTAATTTTTGAGATCGACAACAACGATAAAGTAATTTAAGGACAAATAATATATGAGAAATAAATATGAGTGGAGGTGCTAACATTGGCTTAGCTTCATATTTTAAAACAATAAAATACCGTTGATATTTCCATAATTGATCTGATTGTTTACTGATACGTAAGTAAGTATTATTAAAGGTGGCTATTAGTATACTTAACAACAATATATTACAAAATATTAAAAACGCAGTCATTGTTATTGGAGTTATCCAGAACCCAGGTTGACATTCTGGTTCTGAAGATTTTTCGGCTGTACAGGGTGGATCGATTGTATCCGCTAAACAAAATATATAGGATTATCGATCTTCACAGTAAATCGAGAGAGAAAAAGAATAATTTACCATAAACTTCACCATAAATCTAAATAGAATGCAGAATTATTTTAATCAGTAACTATTTACATTACATATAGAATTTACCATAAAGTAAGGTTCAATAAATATTTGTTTGACTGAATCCCATGTCCATGATCTATCAGGATACCGAATTGCTTGACGTGAGACACCAAATGACATGAGCACAACCAGAATAATAATGATAAAATTAAATAAATCAATTAACTAAAACATAGAAAAAATAAATACAAACTAACAAGAATATTATATTTCACTTACATTTTGTGCAGCTATGTTAATATAGGGTCCTACTGTTTTGCTTACACTGATGTAAATCAACAGATGTAAATACCAATAACTAACATCAAGACAATAGAATAAACGACCAATATGAATAGTACGAGGATAAAAACGCAATATAAATCCAATACCATACGCTATTAGTGCTAATGTATCAAATATGTGTATAAAATCAGAAAAATACAACTAGAAAACATACACATATTCAACGTAAACTGCAAGCTTCTAACAGTCACTTGAACTCACAGTTAGTTTTTTTATGAAACGAGGTGATGCAGCAGAACATATCTAAATAGAAAACGAAAAAAGGATCTTCTACTTTTCAAAGTTTAAAAGAGATTAATATATGCTGAATTACCTCTCTTATGGTATCAAATGCAAATGTTCCCAAGTAAATCGTGACAAGTATTTCTAAAATAATACGGTGATATTACTATAACCTTAAGAGATAGTTGAAATACTGTTACCTGGAATGGTTGGCTTAGGAGGAGTGCGTACCAATACCATATATGTGAATAATAAAAGAAATATTAAAAAGAATAAAGCATTTTGCCAAAATTTTGTTATCGGAGCATTATAAAATTCATAAAAACGTTCCTTAATAGACAATGTTCGCTTTTTGATATTTCCATCACTTTTCGCGGTAGGTAAGTGGAATAGATCCATACTGTGATTATACTTGTCTTTGTTTGATAAACTATGAACAAATCGCCTAATCCAAGGTATATTTGTTTCTCTTTGTTTTTGTTGTTGTTTTGATATCGAGGATGTTGTCATCAGTGATTGTGTATGTGTTGGGATACTGTGTATATCCGTTATGGTAGTGGCAGGAGTGATATTCTTTGAATCGAGCATATCTTTGTATTGGGTAAGTTTCGACGGTGATAGATGTATTGAATCTACTCTACTATTTCGGGACTGTTGTAAGAAATTCTAGACAAAATAAGAAGGATGAGTGTTTCAAATTAGCTTTTTTTTAAAAACAAAATGCATACATTATCAATAGATGTTTCTTGAACACTTTTTGAACGACGGGATGAGTCAAAAACCACACCAAGGTTTATACTATCTTCCTCTGTATCATCTTCATCATTATTTGATATTTCTTCATCTTCATGAGTGGCTAAATGTTCTTCAGCTGTTTTTGGCATTTGTTGTAATTCTTCGGGAGTTTTAAATTCAATTCGAAATACAAGTGGTGGAAATAGAATTGCACCGATCACCTATTAACACAATAAGAAATAGATCGCAAACGTCAGATAAATATTGTATATTTACATAAATAAAACTATAACGTCGTATGTTCATGCCTCCCATCCATAGATCGTTTAATAACATTTGACAGCATTTGTGAGCAACAAATTCCTGATGATGTGCTATGACAGCCAACGAAAGACAGGTCCAATCGCTCCAATTTCTTAATTCATATGTCAATAACTGACACGTTTTATCGTCATTATCTTTATAGCATTGTTCAAGAATTCCCAACGCCAGTTGACGAAATTGTTCAGCATAATTTCCCAATTCTGTAGACACTTCAACTTCTAACTCATCTTCATCGGCTTCTTGCGACAATGATTTATTTAATCTTGTAGCTACTAACGCCTTTGCCATAGCTTCTTCTCCTCTTTGCCACATAAATATTGCCATCTGATGACGTTTCATTAATACAGCCCACAATAATAATTCGTTATAAGGATATGGAAAAGTATCATCGATTTCACTTCTTGTTCGCTGGCATAAAAAATAATGATTTATTTATGTCTTGTGATAGAAAGAACAGTCATTTACCTTCATTTTGGTCTTTACACTCAAGTTAAGATAACGATAACGAAAACGACGACGAGTATAGTTGGAACGATAACCTGTAGCAATAAATAGTTATAGAAAATAATTTCAATTCAGATTTACTTTATCTATTTTCTTACCATGACCCATTAACTTTTCAATAACTAAACCAATATCTGGCAATGTATATTGGCCAAGACTTAGAGTCTAAATAAAAAATATATTAATGTTTTCTATTTGAGACTTTACTTATTTTTTACTTTTCTTAATTTTCGAATATCTTTCATGACGAAATGAATCGTATTTGGCGGTCCTTCCTTCTACAAAAAAAGGAAAGCAAGGATAACTAATAAAACAATGACTACACAATACACCTTACCGTGTTGTAAAGTTCTTCTAAACGAGATATGGTTAAAAATTTTTGCATGTATATCCCATTTTCAAGTAATAGCTGAACAAATTCCACTTTATCATGTATAAGTGCCGACATCATGATTTGATATAGTTCATCTTCTACCCATTGATGACCATGATAAAAGTAATTTCGAGCAATATCAACACGATTCCAATGTAGCGCTAACATTAACTGATCAATCTGTGATGATCCCTGACCTATATAAAGAGAGAAAAAAGGTAGAATATAGCTATGTACAAGGATGATTAGATGTTTCATACTTCGAAGAAGAGCAGTTAATATTGCCAAATCAATATCCTGCGATTCTTCGCCCATTCGAAAGACAGTTATCTTAAGAAAGACAAAACTCGATTTAAAAAAAGTGTTCACAATTTCTTAGTTTAACTTACAAGATCTTTACGTTTGACGCATAGCATCAATTCAATAAACAAATTTTCCGCTTGTTTCCGTGTATAACCAAACGTTTTAATGATTGTTTGAATTAATTGTTCTCGAATTTCATGTGCCATCGTACTGAAACAAAAGAGTAGTGCCACTATTAAACAAATATATTCAAATGTTTTTTGAGTACTCTACCCATCATCTCTGGCATAATGATGAGTGAATGCAATAAGATCTGCAGCACGGCCCGAACCGTCACACACGACAACTGGTACCGGAGGAATATCAGTAACATTTTCAAGCACCATGCGAATTGTATTAGTTCCACCTATTATCGTATACGTCTTTTTTAGAAAATAACTTCTAATATAAATAATTCATTCTTATTTACCTTCGACCACAACACAAACAACAGGAATAGTTGCGTTTTTTGCATGACCAGCTAAATAAAAACAACAAGATACAAGAAAGCTCATAATAGAGTACTATAATCACACGAAACTTCTACTATACAAGCATTGTTTTGTATCGCTTTTAAAACAGTATCCGAACTTTAATATGATTTCTTGAGATTAGAAGATCCGCATGAAGCGACGGGATGTCAAACAATCAATACATAACACACGATTTCAGACAAGGAAGAAGATCTCGCATTGTGGCTACTGTTGGCGATGTATCGTGCTATCAAGTCAGACCTGTCAGTTTCATCTAGCTCTTCTAGTGAATTGTACCGAAGTACTTGAGACAAGTACATCGTTTGCGTAATGGAACCGGCAGGTACTTGTCTTTTTTCAGATATAAATTTACTTGTTGTAAGTATTTGATTTTTTACTCAACAAGTACTTTCACAAAGTATGTCGTAGCAATAGAACGAAGTATTGCAATCTTTACGACGTTCTTACAAAAGTTCATGATAAATAAGTAATTTTGAAAATAATGACTAGTTTTTCCAAGCACTTATTAAATAACCGGATCAATTAGTTCACTAGGAACGAGCTCTGATCTGCCTGCAAACGGCAGTTTTTGAAGATGATGATCCTCTGACTAGTTATCAAACTACAGCTCTGACCAGTAGGCTGGTCTGATGCACAGTTTTTCCATTGAATTGTATATACTTTCATACATTAGCTTCCTGAAAAGCCAGAGGACCATGTCTTATGTCACAATGTAGTAAATGTGCCATCCGACGGATAACTAGAGATAAACGAACGGAAGTAATTTGTTCAAATTCGAACATATCACCTTTGAAGTGAGTTACGAACAACATAGCTGTTAAGCCAAACTGCTTTGACAATAGAAGCAACACTTAACGATGATAAACACGTGAAATAGACGTACTCATATGAGTTTTGTTTGAATCAATTAAATGGAGGTCGTGAATTGAATTAGCTAAAATGATTTCCAGTGAAAGATAAATTTCGAACATTCTATACCCTCATTCTCACAGGCTCGTAGTATTTTATAAAGTCACTACAACATCATTTATAATCAGCAATTAAATTATGTCATTTATCATAAGATATCGAAAATAAAAATACTTACGAATATTCATTGATCTCTGTCTAGACAAAAAACGTTCAAATTTTTTTCGTAATACAACTTCGCCTCCAAATTTTCCCGTTGTTCCATTATCTGCCAAGAGAAAATAATAATGATTACTGTTCAATGTAGCACAATTTTTTGTTGCAGTTGCCATCGAATGATATGAAACAAGTTTCTTAAAAGTATAAACTAAATTAAATTAAAAAGTTTCATGATATGAAAGACAAAATACGCATACATTTGCTCCAACAAAATTTTCACGGCCTTCCACCACACCCCAGGGTGCAAAACCAATGACAACAATATCTGATTTAGCTTTTGGTGATTTGACAAAAAGAGCATCACCAACATGTTTAACGACACCTTTAAAAATAATAACAACGATATATAAAACAATAATGACAACCTGTCTTCTCAACGATTACCAGTATTTGTTCCGTTAGTGATTATCCACGCTCCCGTGGTTTTGGCAGCTCGAAATAGGCCCTTTTTTAATACACGTTTTAACTTGGGTTGAAGTTCAAAGTTGGCAATACCGCCATCAATTGATATGACTAAACGTGGCAATTTCAAATTCCATTCTTTAACGAATAATTTTAAAACAAGATCTGGTCGAGTATCGTGGGATAATCTCACATACTGAAAATATGCTTATTGCTATCATGTACATATTATCTTAGGACTGACGCATGTACCTGTGCTTTTGTTGGATGCTGTTGCCCTTCGAATTCGATTGTACCATCTGAAATGTTAAAAGCATATCATTACAGAACAGAAAAAAAGCCAAAAATATTACATACAAGCATCGGTTTGATAAGTTTTTGTATGTTTTTGTACTGACCATTTTTCATTCGTCGATAAGAAATTATAATCGATACTACCACACTGAACATCATGTCGAGAATAGGTTTTTCCACAGTAACAACTAAAATAGAAAAAAACATGTCCAGTTTGGCCTAGTTATCAACTTTTAGTTCAACCCAGTACCAATCTGGTTGACTCGAAACTGGTATAAATTTGATACATTCACGTTTTTTAAATGATCGTTGTATCCAAGATAAATTACCAACATTATCCAACTGAAAAAAGTAATAAAGGAAGAAACGAAGAATAATGATTATTTACACTGAGATATTGAAATAATACTTTTTGTAAAAAGAGAGAGGCAATTTATCTAGTAGATCAATTATAACAACGAAAAGTAATGTAGTACTAACGTCTAAACGCATTTTGAAATTAGTTTTGATTTATAGTTCCAATACTAATCAGACAATCTTATCTGTTAAAACAAATGTCTGTTTGTTAAAAATATTTCGTACCATAATGCACCTTGGTTTTTCTATGTAATCCTCTTATGTCTTTTCATATTATAATCAAAAGTAGCGGACGCATCTAGATAATTAACTTTACGTCCTTTCAAATATGTTTTTTCTTTGTAGAAAATTAAATCATATGCTATCTCAAACCCAAACACTATTTAATTTAATTTGAAAAAAAAAAAAGAGCGTGTGACTAACGTTTCTTCCTTCCGTTTTTTCACTAGCATGTAACGTAGAAGGTTGCTTATAATATTAATAATTTAATGAACGAAATAAATTAGACATGCAAACTATCTGCTAACCGATGCCTTCCCTATAATAAGGCTATGGTAGAGCGATTATCATCTTTTCACTCATAAAAATAACTAGAACCCTCTTCTAACGTCGAGTTCTAAAGATAAGTTAAGTAGAATTAAATCCAGATATAATTTCATGTAGCTTCTTCGAAACTTACACGGTGTAAAAGTTGTAAGATTTCACTAATCCTCCCTTCCTAGAATAGAAAATCATGTGTTCTATTTTGTCCGACAAGTCAAACATTTTTTTGCTTGCTAGCATAACGGCAAAAAGTACACCTTAGATTAACGTTAGTATTGTTGCAGTATAATATTTTACTATTTTCATTGTCTGTTTGAAAGAAAAATAAATGTGCTTCAACAGCATTCTGCCAAGATTATACGTATGTAAAAATAATTCTTTTAATATGAATTTTATTACGGCAAAGTTTTAAGAGTAATCTCTACGGAAAGTTAGCTAAATGATGCGTAGATAAAATTAGATCATAAAACGACACAAATTTATTAAGCTATGGTCCAAAAGCACAATTCCACTAAACTTTTCGTTTTCATCCTTTTTATTAAAAAGTATTCTGTTAATACTGATTTTTATCCGAAATCATCAAGTACATGATTCTATCGTACATTAAGACAGAGATGTCGAGAGCGCGGGGTTGTAGGAGAGTGCGGGAGCGGGTTATGCCTCTCCTGCTTTTGGAAAACAATTCCTCTTTAACAATCTCTTCTTCCCCAAGAATTTTGTCTGAGCTCTTGCCAAGATTTGGTAACCAATCTAATCAAAATTTAACAAACACATGCTTTCTTTGTCTCCTAAAATAGTTGAGAGCAAAATTTTTCTTCCACTTTTCTTTAATGAGAAAAAAAGCTCAAATTGATATCAGCATTATCATTTAGTTATTGTGTTGAAATTATGATGATAGATAATGTTGTGTTCTATAGTTTTCTCTCAAATAAATTTACACCCCTCCTACTTTTTTTCTCCCGCCACACCCCTGTGTATTCGTGAAACACGATAAAAAAATTCACACTATCTCAAAGGAAAAATGTTTTTGATCCTTCCTCTATCCAATCCAGGATGTCTTGTATTACTCTTGCATTCAGATCTTGAAAAGTTTTAACTTGAAATCTCATACTTTCTGTGTCAGGTGTAGAAAAAAGTGGAAAAATAAGTGTTGCGCTCATATTTTAGCCAATTTGCTCATAATGCTTGTTTTTTCTACTTTGTACTTACCTCAAACGTTGGAAAAGCCATTACTGTTGACGACCAACCAAATCAAATTAACTAATAAGTCCAAATACAAATAAAGCTATCTCAACTACGGTTAGTTGTAAACTTTTGGAAAATATGTGTTGATGAATTAAGTAATAATATGAATTTTTGCAAGAATGATCGAACAGTGATGACATGATAAAGAAGAAAATAAAAAAGGAAAATGAATATAAAGTATGACAGTGGCACACTACTGATCAACAGTCACAATGATGATGGATTTGATTCAGCACATCACACAATAACTAAACCTTTCTGGAAATAAAAAAAGAGTTATCTACAAAACGAATACAGAAAAAAGATATGTAAAATTCTGAAAACTGAACTATGTGTAAAGAACAACATATCCGGCTTAATTTTTTTTTCTTCTCTTCTCTTCTTTATAATGCGTTAAATATTTTTTCATGTTTTCGAAGTGTAATAATATTATAGAAGAAAAAAAGACAGTGATGAACAAACTATCCACATTAATCGCTTTTATTCAATTATCGTACGCTTTTATGAATTGTAAACTTTTGCATATTAAAACGAGATCTAGAAATCTGTTTCTGTCTTGTTATGTCAAAAACTGGGTATTTTATGAACAAAGAACATATTTTTTCAGTAACTATCACAGCTCATTTTACAGATGTTACTCGTCGAATAACTCAAGACAAGACTTAGATTTTAGTACTATTATCAAAGAAACAGAAAAGAGTTTTTGTGGAAACGATGAAGAAAGATTTAGACCGAACGATGTGTTCATTCGTGAAGAGCTAATTGACTATTTAGTGCTAACAATACTTTTTTTAAAAATGCTGTCTTTTTATAGCATAACTTAGAAGTCAGTATCATAACTTTTGTACTTTCCTGCTATACAATAAGTATCAAAATAAAGTGAATGTTTTTAAGTGGCGCCTAACAAAAGAGTAACCATGTATTTGATGTAATAGAACAAAATTACTTCACCAGATTAACACTTACAGAGCTACAGCGGAAAAAAGACATTCCTACTGATTTTTAAGGACAAAAATTTCCAAGAACCTATGTGCGTAGCTAGTCTCAGAATTCCGTATGGACTGGATTGAGCTCATGGACTCAGACTGGTCTCAAACTTTCAAGACCATGGGCTGGTTTGGACTCGAAAACAAGTTTTAGATTCACTTGAATTGAGGAATAATCAGTAAAAAACTTGTTGTTTTTGTATTGTGGACTGGACTACGTTTTTTTAGAATCTATGAATTAAAAAAACTGTTTTTCATGGACTCGGACTAGACTCGGTTTTTTTAGTCCATAGACTGGACTCAAAATTTTGAGCCCATACGGAGCTCTGACTAGTACCGTTAAGACATACGAATCTAATCGAGAAATTTTCAAATTTTATTCTGTCGAAACCGATTGCAGATACGGACTCTTCATTGTCGATTACCTTGAATAAAATAAATTTTCTCAAGCATCCAGTCTTTCTCAGCTCCGAAACATTAACATACCTACCGCCCTTAGATGTTTTTTTGTTGTTTATCACTTTGTGTGCCGACATGTTGAACAAAATCTCACCAAGAATGAAAAAATTCAATGATATCCACCTATTGATGCTAAAATAATATATGTTCTTTTATAAGCCATTGCACTAAGTCATAATCGAACGTGCCCAATCTAGTGTTCTGCAATAGAAAACTAACTTGGCAGATTTGCAAAGCAGAAACATTTTGATGAATTTTGACGGAAACTACAGGTGTTCAACTTGAAGTGACCGAGATATTGAAATTTTACGAAAAGCGCTAAAAGAGCGAAACGTAACGGGTGGGTCAGAAATAATAACGCACTTTAGTTCCCTTTTCTTCCGAGCACAACTGAAGTTCGAAGATTCCATTCTAAACTCATTCGATAGAGAATTTTCTGCTCTACAGAATCCATCACCTTCTTTCATCACATATTATTTCATTATTTTAAAATATAGTTCAGAGTACTGACAGGTAAAAGTATAACTGTGACGGATGGAACAGGTTATAATTATTTTTGTAGTGGACCTAATTGATTATTTAATAATGCTTCTGACAGCTATTCATCACAGCTACTTTGTGTAGAGAATTCGTCTTCATTCAATTAATTCGCCATTGAGAAATAAAATTTTTCCTAACATTTTGTCACTAAGAACGGATGATCCTGAAATTATGTATCTATTCATGTATCTAGTTTTATCTATATTCCGTATGTTTCCGAGACTTCGTTCTGATTTCAGAAGATAGAAAATTTTCTGCTGTACAAAACCCTGTAACGCACACTTTCACTGCGTTATTTGGCTAGTCCTTTTTCTGCTTTTTTTAAAATCCCATATTATCCGAAAGTACAGATTAACTTGTGCACTGAAAGCTTCACAATTTGGGTGACCAAACGAATAAGTAGCGTAGTCTGGATGATAGCCAAGGGGGAAATAGCGGATTCCTGGAGTCCACGGGAGTCCAAGGTAGGTATGTGATAGCTCATTTCAGTTCAAATGAACTGAGCTGGTCGACCAGTTCATTGAGCTGTGAACTGGTATAAGTTCTTCCCAAAAACAGAACAAAAGTGGTCTGGTTAAGGGAACGACTCCCAAAAAAGAACAAAAGCGTCCATTTTTTGGGAAGTGATCCGAAAAAAGAACACTTTTGCTCTTGGACTCCTGAGTCCATGGGAGTCCGCTATTTCCCCCTTGATGATAGCGCTCAATCCGCTGAATATTTTTACACTACCTTCTTCTCTCAATTACCACATTATTTCTCGAAAAGTTACACAAAAACGAAAAGCCACGAAAATTTTGATAGGAAATCGCAGTTATACTTTTTACCTGTCAGTACTCTGCACTACTTTTTAAAATAATGAAATAATATGTAATGAAAGGTGATGGATTTTGTAGAGTAGAAAATTCTCTATCGAATGAGTTTAGAATGGAATCTTCAAACCTCACTTGAGCTCGAAACAAAATACGTCATTATTCCTGGCCCACCCGTTAGACTATAGCAAAAAATAGTCAACTTCAAAAATTCATAACTAAATAAAGATCCATCATAAAGACATAGAAACTTTGTCATAAGTACTGTATACTGTCCACTACAAAATCACGCGAATGCGAGCTCTCTGCATGCTTTGATTTTTATAGGACAGGTGTTGTATGGAGAGTCCCATTTGGTCGTAATAGTCAATTTTAGACTAGGACCATTCAAACATAACTAAAAGTTAGTCCAATCGATAGGCTCTGCATGGAAATTTTTTTAGTCTCCATGACTTTCCATTAGCAAAGGACATCAGCGTAAAGTTAAAACTGTTTATGGCGAATGTTTGTACTAAGTCTTTAAGAGAAAAATATTCTTTTTGACTGCTCGAAAGCCTGTCTTTCTTCGCTAAGCATTTCACGTAGGATTAGCTATCTTTTAAAACATTTTAGAAGCTCTCCGTCACAATTTTAGCTTTTTTGTCGTCGTTCGTATAATCTGCGTAGTTTTCTTGACTGATGTTCTGAAATTAAAGTTTATGTGATAAGTTTTGTAGAGTATTTCGCGGCGCATTGTTTTAAATGGAGAGCATCAACAGTATTCAAAAATTCGATTGAACAGCCTCTATAGCAAGAGGTCGCGGCTTACTTGCACTAGCTCTCATCTAGAGATGATTCAGAGCCTATTAAATTTGATAATTTTTCTCTTCGGTTATCTCACCGAATGTTCGAATGAAATATGACATTGCTGATACGTGACATGTGTAAAAAGTTGATTACTACTCAATATAAACTTAACTCATAGAAATTCAATGTCAGAGTTTGAGAGGACATGTGTGAGTGATATTGTCTTCACCACTTTTCAATGAATTGACTAAATTTATTAATTTCTTTTTTCAAATTAAAAAATTTGCAGATTGCTTGGCTTTTATGTCTCTATTACTCTGAAGTAAATATACAATTAATAGATAAATGATTTATCGGATACGAATAATGACTCAGTAAAGAAGAAAGATAAAAGATAGAATCTTGATGGCATACACGTATGATCGAAACAATGTTTCTACAGAAATAGATAAGATCAAATTTGAACTGATACTATTTCATCCGATATTGCTGATGAAAAAACGAGACAAAGAGCAAATTACATGATACTAATAATGAGAGAGAGAGAGAGAGAAAGAGAGAGAGAGAAGAAAAAGATCGCTTATGAAATAATTGAGCCTAATCACCAACAACAACACAGATACAGTTCAACACAGTATAAAAAAAGAGATGTATATTATTCTACAAAAAGGAGATGACAGACAAACTCTGCTAAATTTTGATAAAAAAAATGTCATCAAACATTCTCATAAGTGAGTGTATGTATGTCATTCATGAGATGTTCGTGTTTTTTTTTTCGAGATAATAAACAAAAGGGATAATGATACATTCAAATAAAAAGAAAGACAGCTTTAGTGATAAAGAACAGCTATTCTGTATTGATATCAATAGCTGTGTTTTTAGAAGTTGCAACTAAAACAAAAAGGTTTAGACAGTCCAGACGTAAACACAGAAGCTCAACATGTAAAAAAAATTATAACCACAGAGAAGATGAAACGGAGATAAAAGAAAAATAGCTACATACTCTCAACAGAAAATGAAAAAAATTAACTTGAGATCTGCAAAAAATATACAAAAGAGAAATATCTAATGATGCTGAGTTTTGTTCTTCATTTTGTTTTTCTTCTCTATGATTTAAATACTCGGACAACGCGAATAATATTTTGACGACAAATAGGACCTAAAAATTAAAATCCAATATAAATAATTCTTTTATTCTATAAGAAATAAACAACGTACATTCAGCCAACAATTTTCCACATTTGACACATGTTACCATGTGACCACAATCGAGAAATACACATTCAACAGTACTGTCCATACAAACTTTACATAATTCAGTATCTCCAGTTGTTAGTCCATCTAGCTCTTTAGCTAAAATATATAAAACACAAAAATAAGTTAAAAATAACTATACTATACGTTCCGATATCGTTTAACCTTTTTCTTGTTGACTTGCTCGATCTCGATATAAACGCCGAACTTTTTCAATTAATTCACTCTTTTCTACACAACCTTTATAATTAACAAAATTTGTTGCTAATATTTCTTTTAATTCTTTAATTGATAAATCTTCAATATTTTGATCGTCTTTTATATCACTTAATGATTTACGTCTAATACGTTGTTGCGATGGTTGAACTGTTGCTTCTCCAGCATTCTGTAAAATAAAAACAAATATAATACGTTAGAACAAAATTTATAACTACTTGACATGTCACATACCTGATTACTATTGTTAGATGATTGTAGATTTGTTGGCGTACTCTGACTATTATGATGCATAGTGTTCGCAGGTCGTTGATCAGGATTATACAAATTCGTTGTTGATGATGAAGTGCTGTGTCGATGACGATTTGATTGAGAATTTGATCCTCTAGGTTGTTGTTGTGGCATCTGTTGATACTGAGCATTATTTGACGAAGATGCCTGTTGATTTCCATTTGTTGAGGATGTATAAACAAAACTTCCAGGAGATGAAAATGTATATGAAGCAAAACCGGGCGCATTCATTGTTGTTCCAAAGTTGAATGAAGAGATATTTCCGCCGTTTGGCACTGATGAATAATTTACATTACTATTATTTGCTTCTGAGTGTTGTGGATGTAATGCATGATGTAAAACACCGGAAACCGTATTGGACACATAATCTTGTAAGTTAGCAGCAAAATGATTCATTTGGCTAGCAAACGATGACATTGTATGTTGAAAATTTGTAAATGGATGAGAAGTATTACTGTTTGTTTGTTTTGGTAGAGGAGGCGGCTGAGGCATGTTTGAGGTTGTAGATGAAGAAGATGAGGAGGCACAAGTGGAAAACGATGTGTTAAAATAATTTGTTTGAAACTGTGGATTTGGGGGTGTTGTTGTTTGTGTCGTAAAATAATTGCTATTTGTATTTGTGGGATTGTTTTGGGCTGCTTGTTGTTGTAGATAGAGAAATGGTAGATTTCGACTACGAACAATCAGATCAACAAGTTCTTGTTTTTCCGTACATGTATGATTTGGTATATTTTTAGCTTGCAAATATGAACGTAAATGTTTGACTTTAATTGAAAGTAATTCCTCTTGTGTAGTTGATTCACTTGATATCAATTGACAAATGAGACAAATTCGACAAGGATGATGACGTTCGCGTGGTGCACAAGTTGGACAAAATGACTGACGACAAACAATGCAATTTTTCTGAAACATAACAAAAACGAAACATTATGTTTTCATATATAAAGAAACTAAATAGTAAATGCTACATTACCTTTCGTTTGACTAATGTGTAAGCACTGCTGCAACGTTCACACTGGTCGTTTGAAAATGGAGTTGTGGGCATGGCCCAAAGAAAATCAAAGCAATTAAAAAGAGACGCCACGCCTAAAATAGAAAATAAAAGCAATACATATATTCAGAAGTCAAGAATTCAAAAATAAAACCAAATTCAAAGGCTCGAATCAAAGCTACAGCTTTATTTAAAAATGAGATTTCATTTTCACTTCATTCAACCAAAAATGTTTTAGACCTAATGCAGAAAACAGAAACACAAGCAATGCTAACAAATAAGATTGGAGGGAAATAAGACTCCTGTGCGATTATTTATCATCTCGTTTCATTGGTCCCACTCCCCATTAAGGACCTCAGCCACTTCTTAAAACTTTCTTATTAAGGTCTTGATAAGATAATCCAAGATCGTAATTAAGATCTGAATAAGATTTGATGACTCTATTTTCATTCACCCATTTGTTTTGCTCTTACATATCTATATAAGCAGCAACGTAAATATAACTGAATTTTACATTGTTATTTTTCTTTCAGACTATGTTCGTACTTGCTCTCTCGAAAGTGTCCAATAAACTTTTCAGAGAATGTATAATGTAAGTTAAGGTTCAGAATCGGACTCCCGAACACATGAAATTTCTCTTCATTTTATAAACCTGCTCAACTTATATCACAGTAGTATAGGCTAAATATTCAAGCACTGTTAGTTAATAGTAAATTAATGTTATTAAAAAACGTAATAGTTGTACTGTTAAGATACTAAATAAAATCTTATTAAATATCAGGTTTTTGAGATCTTACGATCTTAGTAAGATTTGCCTAAGAGCCTAGACAAACGTAAGCTAAATTTTACTAAGATCTGAATAAGATTGTTCTAAGATGTTGGCAAGATTCGAGTAAATTTCTCACTAGGATTGTTTGATAAAAATTCTGATTCGACGTATCTTTCTTTTCTACTTAGATATAATGACAAGTATATTAACGTTAAAACCTCTTAGCAAACTCGTTAAATTGTCCGAGATAAACGTCGGGCATCAATCAAGTAATAGTATGAAACAAAATTGAGAAATAAGATGCACATGTGAACATGGTTCAACAACATTCGTGTTTACTCTGGATCAAAAAGAAGACGCCTATCGCATTGCATTAGTTCTAACATATTTTATGAATGAAGTTTCAAAATCCGTAAATAATATCTTTGATGATCACAACCAAAATAAGGAATCGCTGCGTGTTAGAACACAAGGATACATACGTACGATGAGAGAAGTAAAATAAAAACAAAGAAGCACAGTCAGCAAGATGATTACACAATCATAACATAATAATCTATATTCGCCCAATAACGAACTTTGATTTATTTATCGCTTGTCGGAAAATAAATTTTAATAATAAAATCAACTGTAGATGTAATCTAAAACATCACAAAAGAAACGTAACTCAATAAACTGAAAAATAAGAACAGATTTATGCAATTTTCTGATCGGTTTTATTTGATTCCCGATAAGTTTGTAAAACTTGTAAACACGTTAACATATTTCCTCTTTCACCAAAGGATTAATTCATCAATATTCTGAAGTACTTCTTAAACTTACGGAATCTTGACTTAATCTCAGTTAAGATTTGGCTTAATTCTTAATGTTTTCTCAAAAAACTCCTGTATCCACTTAAATTTATCTTATCTTCATGGAACATGGTCATAACTCAAGCGTACAGAATTGCTCTAAGTTAACGGTGTAAAAGAAAGCACGAAAACAAATTAAACGTTGGCTTATGTCTTAGTTTAAGTTCATGAAATTAAGAATATTGATGAACAACCATCCCAGTACCAGACTGCATTTTTTTATATGTCAGCGTAACCGAATCAAGATAATCTACCGCTAAAAGAAGCCATTCCCAAATAGTGGAATTGATCAATCAGAGAAGTGCATGTTTTTATTTTTGGAACTAATATATTTTCTTGTGACTACATACGACATCTAATTCGCCGTTTATTGATATTTATAAGTTTTTGAGTTCAATAGAATTAAATAAAAGCACATTGAAAAAATATTCGTTCTCTCAGTAAAACTTTCAGACTTTCAAAAAAAATGTGTAAAATTTTCGTTGTTGCAGGCACAAATTTCGTGGAAATAATATGGATGGATATTTCTGCACATAATGAACATAATAGGATCAGACAGGATAAGAGACAGTCAAAAGTGACTGTATTTTATGGATCGAGAGCATAAACTTTTGTTTATGACAATTACATTGAAGCTTCTTCTAGTAATAGTATATTAATGAATCACTACTATCGATGCCCCTCACATTGGTTCATTTCCCGTGTAGCATATCTTAACATTTTTTGAGTATGGTTAATGATTGTTCATATCAATAACTAATCTTAAAATGTCCAAAAGAAAACGTGTTTATGGTGGCAAAATAGATTTAGTTATGAAAGTGTTTGACATCTAAATTAATATAGAATCGGAATAAAGGTATTAGGTTATTTTATTGCTTTCTTTCAGAATGTCTTTAATTTAGTGTTACTTAAAGAAAAAAGCTGAAACCATGTGGTTTTTTCATAGGATGGGTGTTGTCGTCATTTTGTGGTTTTGTTAAGTTTTTTCCTTTATACACAACATTTTTGCAAGAAATTTCCCTGTATACTGTTATTTATTACTCTACTCTAATTTTTGAAAAAATCCGGTGTTGATAAATCGGTTTAAAACATTTTTTGACACATTTTTCAACCATACCTTACCAACGTATACTACAGACTTTTGACTCATTCATTTGGACTGTCAATGATCGTCAGCTTTTACTATCAGCGTGTTTCTTTCGCATCATAATTTTCTGTATTGTCATTGTTAGAGATTTTCCTTTATTTTGTAGGTAGCGCAGTATGTTTTATTTCATAAATACCGAATTAGTAATTTATCGTTTTGTTGTAGGTTTTTTACTACTTATTTTACCTTTTCCTAATATTGGTTCTGTTATAAACTTCCGTATTTATAGGACTTGTACTAGAAAAAGAAAATTATATGGTTCGTTTTATTTCATCAATATTTTTTCACTTTTTTGTGAAATTGAACGGTTAAGGTAACTTTGCTCGTTGACTACAAGAAAGTGGCAGACTGGATTAGTTTTATTCTACCGAATGAGGGCACAACCGGAAAATGTAACATTACTTACATCCTATTATGATTTCGTAATCTATATAAATTGTTTTAGATTAAGGGAACCTTAAATTGTTCTCTGCTGATCAAGATAATTTTTTATTTATAAGCAGTCGAACAGAAAGTATGACACGAAATTCCGAAAAAACAATAACGACATTAATGCGATGGTCTCAATTACAATTGAAAGAATGAAAAAATCCGAAATAGTCGATCGGCTTCTCATTTAGCATCAGATGAAAGAAATGCTAGAAGAATTGAAACATGGTCGTATCAAGTTCGTAAAATAACAGAAAATATAGTTCAAATACAAAATAGTAATTCGACAAACGTGAAAAATTATTCGTGACTTCAATGATGAAATAAACAAAATTTTGCACAAAACGTCATATTGGGAAGATCAAGAACTTGGGGGAATCAATTTTAAGGCTTGTACTGTCAAATTAACAATGATGATATACTTGTCATTCTGGAAAACTGTCCCTAAAATGCTAGACACTTAATGAAAAGAAGTTTTCGGCAACCATGGTTAAAAGTAAATAATTTTGTTATTATCAGGCATCGTGGATCAATCTGATTGTATTAGTTTTAGATATTTTGAGATCATATACCATTCATCAAGTGTACGGAAATTATTTGAAGAAGAACGTAAGTTGGTTTGTTTTGAAATAATTGAAACGTTACGTCGTTTATCCAATGTTTGTTTTCTTTATATCTAGCTCCTGCGGCCGAAAAAAAATCGCTCAAAAATTAATGAAAAATGGCGATAGTTTATTAATTTTCCATGAAGAACGTTGTGAAAAAGGTAATAATATCTAATTCATTATACTATTCACAACTTTGCCTTGTAATTTTTCTCAATTTTTGCTTTATCTTGGATTTTCAAAGTGGTTTTGCAAATTTTTTTCAGTAGTCATCCCGTTGCATTCGTTCAATAATTATTTTCGTGAAAATATGTTTAAACTTTCAACAATTCGTCTGAACAAATGATAAGTACGAAAGGGAGTAATTCTACGTCGTGAATTACAAACAAAAATTAAAATACAAGATGAAATGAACAACTATATTGTACCTGAAATGAATGTGAGTCAGTTTTAAGGATTTAGTAATTACTATTTTTTCTCCCCTTATTGTTTTTTTACACAAGTAATAAAAACAATAATTTCTTTTTGCTATTTAGATTTCACGATTACTACTTGTATGGATAAAACCAAGAACTATAAGTTAAATATGTGTCTGGTGGCTTGCAGAAAGAAGATCAAGAAGCAAAATACTTGTTAGAAAGATATTGAATGGAAATGCGACATTTATACACCATTTTGTATGTACTTGTTGTTTATTTCTGTTATTTTTATTCTGATAATAAAAGATTGGACTTACTCTCTCCTTATTTTCATTCTTGATACATACTGAAAATAAATTTTTTAATAAAAAAAAAAATTTTCTGTGAAGAGGCTTATTTCGAGTGCGATAGTTTGCTGGGTTTTTGTCACCCAATGTTTATATAAGCTTTTTTTGTGATGTATTATAATAATAATTTATTATAAATAGAATTCTTAATAAAAAATAGCATATGGTCAACTCATAATGATAATGGTTGTTTATTCAGGACTTGAAATATGTAATAATATCTTTGCCATTCATGAACGTGACGAGAGCCAATAGACTGAATATCAAGACAACAACCTCATTGTCTAAAGATTATTTATTATCATTATATGAAGATCTTTTGTATGATCAAGAATAGAAAACATGAGGAAAAGAACAATCTTGTATTTATTCGTCTTAGTTTCTGAAAATTTTATAATTAACCAGTTAATTCACACATATAAAGGTGGAAACTAATGGATAAAACACCAAACAACAACCTTTTGATTTTCTCTTAAACGGTTAATAGGTGTTTATAATTGATCAGTAGTGCATTTTATTTTGATAAAAGAACTTGAACACGATATGATAAACTAAAGGGTGTACCATTATTAATGCCGAGATTTTTGTACGTATATCAAGTGAGCAAAAACTCAATGGTTAATGTTCATCATATAGTTATTGATGATGAATATGATCAATAGTGTGAAAACAAATAAGTATACAATATAAATTATAACAAAAGTTTTAACATTGACGGAAAAATGGAATTGAAATTATTCAATTTTTCTAATGATATAATTCACGATATCTATCAATATTCAATTTCAGTTGAACTTCTGCATTTAAGTTAGAGGATCACTTTGTATCAAATTAATTATTCGTTCAAAATCCAGCATCATTTAACCCATTATGGTAAATATTTTCCCATTTTGATGCTACTACTTGAAAACATCGCTTCGATAGTTTTACTCTATGAAAGCCGATTATTTCTTTTAGAGGCATTCCATTTTTCTGTAGTATTTGCCAAAATATATATACTCGCCATTTCGCGGTTCTTTTATTAGAAAACGTATGAAACAGCGTGTATAATTTCGATAGATCCGGGAATTTACATAAATGACACCTTTGTAAGTTAATGGGCAGAAACGATTAGTTTGGTTTTTCTCAATTATCTTTGCTTGCACATCGTGTTTAAGATCAACAAAATTATTTTAAAATTAGATGCATTTTTGATAACTGTGTGTATCGACAGCCTTTTCTATTTTTAGATATGCATTGGACGATAATACTTTTTATTTTTTTTCTAAGTTCTACTGTTCATTTATTTCTTTGTCCATATACAAAAGTTGAAGAAAGTTTTAATTTACAAGCGATCCACGATATTCTCTATCATCGTTTCAACATTTCAAGTGTAAGTTTAAATTTTGCTACTAAGTCTATGTTTTATTCACTTTTCTTTCTTATTTATTAGTATGATCATTTGGAATTTCCAGGAGGTACCATCTGAATGTAATCTAGACATCTCTGTTTTTAAGTGTATTTAATTATTTTCAGTCGTACCTCGAACGTTTCTTGGTCCCATTGTGGTTTCATGTTTATCATTTCCATTTACAATATTTTTTCCATCATCATCATCTTCTCTTTTATATATGCAGTATATTGGTATGTACAGGGTGTAAAAAGAACAAATTTCGATTATGTATATTCTTTTTGTTACAGTTCGATTGATATTAGGATTATTAGTGGCACTTAGTTTAACAAATTTTTATATTTCATTAAAACGGCATTGTGGCTCATCTGTACAACAATGGTGGTTAATTATAACACTAACTCAATTTCATCTATTTTTTTATTCTACAAGAACACTACCAAATACATTTGCTCTCATTTTAGGTGAGCGAGAGATGAAGAAACTTTCGAAAGATGGTTAAATCTTAAATCTCGATTTCTTTCAAGTTTTGAATTGTTTCGCATTTTGGTTAAATGGTAAACATAGACTATTGGTATGGACGTCAGCATTTGTCATTTTGATATTTCGTTCGGAACTTGTCATTTTATTGGGTCTGATTATTCTTTATGAAGTTATCAATCGTCGTTTAAGTTTTCGCGAATCATTAAAACATGGCATATCTGCAAGTTTAATCGCTGTGGGTAAGTCGTTTCAAATTTTATTTTCAAATCATAAATTCTGATTAACATTTTTTGGGTAGTGCTTCTTAGCGACCGAACTCAAAAGTAGAAGACAATCATAAGTAAACGTGGAAGCTATAATGATTCGATTCAAAATGTTTAAACACAAAATCCTAATGTACAAAATAAACTTTGCTTTTTTCATATTTTCTAGAAAAAACACGCTTCTAAAACATTGCTTTCTCTGTTCTCGGAAAACTCATGTAACTCAGCCAAAACTTACGCTTTTGAGATAATTTTTTTTAATCTGAAAGCTGATGATCCATATTATAAATGTGGACCTTCGTTTCGAACAAATATTTTTTTCTGTTCACCATGTTCAAGCGCGAAGATTAACTATAACGAATTTCTGGCTTAAACAAATATCTGGAAAGTTGTTGATGTTTCATATTTTCAGTATTTCTTCAATAATCTTTTTACCTTTAGATGAACAACACTGATTCACCTATCGTTTTGTAGAGAATTGAACGCTGAATCTTTAAAAAAAAAATTTAATCCGAAAGGATGAGAGATACTTAGCAAGATATTGAGACCATCATTTATTCTACTGCACCCGTTATACATGAAAGACATGATAGATCTGTGTCTTCGGTGCAACTAAACACTAAACAAAGAGCTGTCTTTTAAATCAACCACGCATGATAGATGAGTGTATATATGTATATATGCACAATACCAAAATAAGTTAATCTAATGGCTGACATATTCCCTGTTTAAATTGAATATCAGCATCGTTGTAATGTACAAAACCAAATAGGAGTTGACAGAAAGTGTGAATCATGCTATACACTAGTTAATGTGATTCGAAGTGTCCAGTTGTAGTTGAAAATAAATAAAAATAATTGAAAAAGATTAGGGTTAGAGACAGTTTTGACTTGAAATTCTTGTTCTCTATAATAAATTGTATTTTCTATAAAAGAAAATTTTTCTATTTAGGACTTAGTCTAATCGTCGATAGTTGGTTTTGGCAGCGATTAGTATGGCCAGAAGGTGAAGTATTATTTTACAACACAATATTAAACAAAAGTTCAAATTGGGGTGTATCCTTTTTGTTAACACGCCTAAGAGGAACATGTCATGACCAGCACAACGAAAAAGCTCCCATTAGTAGAGATGTTAGTCGACAACGAAAAACGTTCAACTGGTTATTGTCTTCTAGTAGTGCAAACAATAAACTATATCTTGATATTTATCAATTTTCTCATTGATCTTTTTTTCGTCATGTTAGCATGTTGAAACTTTTTATTTAAGTAGAGAGACAACTTCATGGTATTTAATCGAAAGATTATCTATGCATATTCATTTGTCTTTCTTAACATCATTCAGACTTCACCATTTTTATGGTATTTCTATTCTGTTTTACCACGTGCTCTTGGTGCATCTCTACTAATATTACCATATGGCTTGTACACTAGTAAAACAATTCGTTTAATGGTACTACCAAGTTTTTTATTTATATTTATTTATTCAATTTTACCACATAAAGAGTTACGTTTCATTTTTTATACATTTCCAATGTTGAATGTAGCTGTAGCAGAAGGTTGTAAACGAATGTAAGTTTATCTTTTATTAATGGTAATGTCAATTATCGTTTTAAAAGCAGAAACACATCTTTTATTTATTAAATCTAGATTTCAGCTGAAAACTTATGATTGGCTGTCTAAATTATTAAAATTGATTATTTATGGTCATCTGATTTTAAATATAATTCAAACATCAATAGCATTATATGCTTCACATTACAATTATCCGGGTGCACAATCTCTTTTAAGTTTACAAAAACTCTATCATCATAAATCAAGTATAATTAATTGATTTGTCACATCGAAGAGTGAACTTTTTTCTTCTTTATTTTGTAGATGTAACCGTTCATATTGACGTTTATGCAGCTGAAAATGGTATATCGAGATTTTTAGAACTTAAACGTGCCGACATTTGGAGGTATGGAAAAGGATCAGTAATTGACTATGTATGATGTAAATACATCGGTTTTGTTGTTTGTTTTTGATTTAGATATAATAAAACGGAAATGTTGACAATCAAAGAACTTACTCAATTTGATTTTTTACTAGTTGAATCCAATAATGAAGAAGATAATCGTCTAAAACCGTATTTAACAGAAGGATTTCATATTATAAATTTTATACGTGGATTTAACGGATTTTATATTGATAAAAATATTTTGTTGAAAATGAGATGGATACCAAAAATTTATATACTCTCAATAAAATAAAAACTTCTTGTTTTAGTTATTTTAATTAATATCTTTCTATAAATTGTGTTTTAAAAGCAACTTCTTACTCTCACAAAATAATATATTATTTTTGTTTTTTGACGACATTTTAGTTTTCTAATTATTTTTAAGATATTGTATAATAATGTTTCGACAAATATCTTCTCTAGTGATCATTCGATTTGTTTCACATACAAATATTCCACGAACATGTTCGTTACATAATGCTGCAAATACAGATATTAATTATTTTCAAAATATGGTCAAATCACATGTAGAGAAACAACCATCTTCTAAAACTAATACTACCAATGTCAATTCTTCAAACAAAAAACAAAAAAATAATTTTGACAATAAAAATCAACATAGATCTTATGGTCAACAAACAACATCAGAATATTTTCAATTGAAACAAAAAAACACATCATCATCATCATCGGCAAAGTTTACATCCTACAATACAACATTGGGTACAAACAAATGGGATGATCAAAATAAACATTCACATTCAGAACGATCAATGAAATACAATAATTATGTATCGAATAAATCGAGAATATCAACATATAACAATAAAAAATCAGTAAATCAAATAAATGACAATGATGATAAAACAAAAACATCTAAATTTAATTCGTACAATAAAGCGTATCAAAACGTAACCAAGAGTAGTCATGATTTTAATTCACAAGAAGAAGATGATATGTTTGAAAATGAAAAAGATGATTTAACATTGACTGGCGTTGAAACAAAAACATTTTCAAAAGTAAATAAAAAAAATAAAACAACAATTTATTCAAAAGATAAAATAAATGTTCTACTTTCAAATAAACAAGATGAAACAAAGAATAGGTCAGTAAAATATTATAATCATGAAACAAGTTAAATTGTTTATATTTTTTTGGATTTAGTAATTCGATTCCACTTGAGGTTCTTGTTCAACCCGATTTACATGATTTATATACTAATGAAGAAATACATGAATCAATTGAACAATATATTCGTAATATTCGTCCTGTTGTTTTACGTTCACTTCCATATGATATGGCTTATTTAATAAATGAATCAGAAACATTAAAACGTTTCGTTGAAATGGGTGTTGATATCTATCGTTGGGGTAAATCACATGCAAAAGTCAAATATACCAGTACACTTGATTTTGAACGTGATTGTTCAAAACATATTGTTTTTTTACATGATAAAGGTATTCAAAATGATATTCTAGCACAATTTCTTTCATTTAATCCTTGGATATTTAGTGAAAATATTAATGATTTACAAACACGAATTCATTATCTTGAAAGTAAAGAATTTAAATCAGACATGATTCAACACATTATTACTAAAGCACCCTACTGGCTTAATCTAAGTACAAAAACAGTGGATAATAAATTATCTTGGTTTCAAAAAAAATTTCATTTATCCGTTGATGAAATACGAACAATTGTTTGTAAAGCACCAAAATTAATTACATTACCATTAAAAGATATTAGTGATACTTATTTTAATATGAAAGAATTTTTAAATTTTACTGAAGAACAATTAAAAGAATTACTTATCAAATATCCAAAATTGTTTCAATATGATTTTAAAGTAATCGAATTCAATTTTGATTTTTTAATTAATCAAATGAATATTAAACAGGAACAATTTATTGAATATCCACCCATACTTAAACAATCATATCAACGTTTAAGAACACGATGTCTCTATTTGAAATCTATTGGACGTGATCAATTTAATTCATCAGAACCAAATTTTATATCTCTAAAAGCTCTTTGTTTAAGCACTGATGAACTATTTTGTCAGCAAGTGTTGAATACTACTGTTAAACAGTATCGACAGTTTAGTAAAACAAATGTACGGGATTAGTGATGTATATATTTTTTTTTTTTTTTTGTATTTTTATGTAATAAAGAGAATTGATATAAAAAGAAAGAGTTTGATAAAGAACAACAGAAGAATAAGATGATCACTAGAATTACTAGCTACTAGCTTAAACTATAGAATTTTGTATAAAAAAAATGACTTTTTCATGTTTTATACCGTTTATTTTATCTAGCTGATAAACGTTAGCTTTCAGTTAGGTATGCACCAGTTTAAAACTGGTGTTGGGGCATCCGGGAGAATTGTAATACATCAGTTATCACGATTCACTCAGAGCTGTGAAACATCTCATTTTGTAGCAAAAAAGTTTGTTCTATAAAATGCATTTGTTAAAGGAATTCCAAAATCATTTCTAAGAAAAATTAGAGCATTCTAAAATGCACTAAATCACGAAAAAAAAACCTGTTCGAACAGTTTTTAACTGATGTATACCTACTTTTAGTATTGTTCTAAATCTGTTCAACACTATCACTTTTCTAATTTATTTTATTCTATTCTACTTTCAGATTCTTCAATTGAATCATTTTAAATAATTTTTTTGAACAATGTTTTCAATATTTAAAACATTGCATCCACCAACGGGAATAGAAAATGCTGTATCAGCGTATTTTTTATCACCATATGAAAAAAATCTTGTATTATCAAGTGGAAATCAATTATATGTTTATCGTCTTGTACCCGACACAATTACAAATGATTTCGTTAGTGAATCAGTTAATCATATATTAAATGATCCTGCTGATGTTTATCAATCACTATCTAGTCAAAAACCACAACGTTTAAAATTTGAATGTATGAATACATTTACATTATGGTCAAATATTTGTTCTATAACACCATGTCGTTTTGGTCCAACAATGGTTAAAGATGCATTATTTATATCATTTATGGATGCAAAATTAGCTCTTATCGAATTTGATACCACTATTCATGATTTAAAAACATTATCAATGCACTATTTTGAAGATGAATTACAAAAAGAAGGTCAATGGTATAATTTTTCACCACCAATTGTACGAGTAGATCCAGATATGAGATGTGCTGTAATGTTAATATACAATTGTAAATTGGTTATTATACCATTTTTTAATAATGAAAATTCAAATAAAGATATTACATTGACAAATGAAATGTTATCAAATAATTCAATGCTAAATATAAGTAAGATAAAATATATTTTTTTATTTAAAAATGTTTAAAAATCATTTTTCTTTTAGCTATTGGACCAAGTACAAATACTCGTTGTTCATCCTTATCATCCTATATTGTTCATTTAAAAAAACTGGATCCATCATTGACTGGTCGTATTATTGATCTACAATTTTTACATGGTTACTATGAGCCAACATTATTTATTCTATGTGAAACAAATCGTACATGGGTCGGACGTGTAGCTGTGAAAAAAGATACATGCTGTAGTGTAGCATTATCGATCAATGTACAACAAAAATCAAATCCAGTTATTTGGCCTGTTGATAAATTGCCATTCGATTGCTTTTCATGTATGTCTGTTCCAAAACCAATTGGTGGCATTCTTATCATTGCTGTTAATTCTATCATATATTTAAATCAGAGTATACCACCCTATGGTGTGTCATTAAATACATTAACAAAAGAATCAACAAAATATCCATTACGACAAATGAATGATTTAAAAATATCATTGGATTGTTGTCAAGCAACGTTTATATCATCGGAAAAAATTGTATTATCGTTAAAAAATGGTGAAATATACGTTTTAACATTGCATACGGATACAATGAGATCTGTCAAAGAGTTTACATTTGATCGAGCAGCTGCCGGTGTTTTAAGCAGTTGTGTAAGTATTGAAGAACAAAGACAATTGTCAACTCTCATTCACTTTAAACTTAATGTATAACTGACATGTTATATTCTCTCTTTTTTCCTATTATTTAGATCTGTAAATGTGATGAAGGTTTTCTATTTTTTGGTTCACGCTTAGGTAATTCATTATTGTTACGTTATCATAAAAAAATAATTGATGAAACGTCAGAAGCAATAATGGCGAATGGCTTAGTAGATACATCGTCAAATGATACTGCTACCATCGCCACCACTACCATCAAAGCAGAAAATGGAGCAACCAATCATCATCTTGATGACGATATGTTGATGTACGGTAATAATAATATCGAAAATATCAAAACAATTGATAATAATACCGGTGAACCGTACACAAAACGTGTAAAACAAGAATCAGATGATACTGATATTGTCAATGATCAGTATGATACCGATAATTCCGATGAGAAGAAACCGTTAACGTATACATTTGATTTTTGTGATAGTATAATTAACATTGGTCCGTGTGGTAATAGTATTTGTGGTGAATCAGCAGATTTCAATCAACAAGATGAAAACATATTTCATCAAAATTCATTGTCATTACATTTGGATTTGGTGACAACATCAGGTCACGGTAAAAATGGTTCTATATCAATATTACAACAAACATTAAAACCCCATATTATTACTACTCAACAATTGTCCGGTAGTGTTGATTTATGGACCGTTTATTCAACACCAATGGATACAAAACAACATGCCTATCTAATTATAAGTAATGAAACATCAACATTAATACTACAAACGGGCACTGAAATATCCGAATTAGAACATGGTGGTTTTCTAGTACATGAACAAACAATTTATTGTGGAAATATTGGAAGAACAACAAAATTAATTGTTCAAATAACACGATATTCTATTGTTTTGCTGCGTGATAGTGTTCATATACAAACAATAACATTAGACAATGAACAACAGCAAGCGTCAACGGGAAGCAAAACATTGGGACCGATTCGTTTTGCCACGAGTTTAGATAAATATCTGGCGATATTAACTGCACATGGTCAAGTCTATATTTTTTCTCTAAATAATGAGCAAACAACTGCACCTCATCTAGCAGAATGTTTTAATCTGACATCGAAAAAGTATTCATGTGTAAATTTATATATCGATCATAATGGATTATTTACAATGAATGTTGAAGAAAAATATCTTAAAATTGAACAAGTATTAATGAATCGTCGATCAATAAGTACAGTTACTCCAACTTCGGCACAACCAATGCCTCCACTAGTCGGAAAACCAGCTCATTCAAAAACATCGTTCGATTCAAGTTTTATGGTTGGTGGTGATGATGAAGATGATTGGTTATATGGGAAAAAGATTGAATTAGGTGTAACATCAATATCTCAGACAGTTAATGAACAACATCAAAATGATGCTGATGTTTCAATGTCTGGAGAAACAAAGGATCGCAACACACATTCAACAAAAACATCTGTGAACAAGTCCTATTGGTTGATAACTACAGGCAAAGACGGAACTTTAACAATTTATGACCTAGATACGTTTATAATACGTTTTGAAATAGTACAATTTAACAGTGCATTGAAAGTACTCGTCGATGTAAAAGATACGTATCCACCAGCAACAAATTATTTAGGAAAAATTGATACATCGTGTTCAGCATACGTCTATGAAATTATAATGATTGGTTTAGGCTATAGAAAAGATCGAGTTTATTTACTAGTAAGTGGCTGCTACCTTCATGTAAGAGTTTGTTATTGATTCTATTTTTAATAGGCAAGAATTGATGAAGATTTGATATTGTATGAAGCCTATCCCTACTATCATTTACCTGAGGATCGTTTAAAAATACGTTTTCGACGTTTATCATTGAATGCCTTTATACGTACAAAAAAATCAAGTGCAAAAAGAAATACAACCAAGAAACAACAACAACAACAGCAGCAAACTCAGTCACAATCAACTGTTCAACAGAAAGATCAACTGAAAACAACAACACCTGTTCAAACAGATTTAATTGACGACGAAATGAATGAATATCAACGAACATTATTACGATCATTTGATGGTTTGAGAAAATGTTTCTGATATGTGTGTAGTCTGACTATTTTTTTAATCGTATTTTCTAGATGTCTCGAATTATTCTGGTATATTTATTTGTGGTACACATCCACATTGGTTAATATGGTCAAAAGGAAATATCCGTTCATTTCCAATGACAATTGATGGTCCAATAAAAGCATTTGCACAATTCAACGATGAAAATTGTAAAAAAGGTTTTCTCTATTTTAATCAAAAAGATGATTTGCGTATAGCTGTCATGCCGACCCAACGTATACTCGACTCATATTGGCCATTACAAAAGATCACATTAAGAATGACAGGTACATCTATTTTTATCAACAATATGTTTTCTTCTCAACATTGTTTCTCTTGTTATTTAGTCCATTATCTATGTTACCATGTTGAAAGCAAAGTAAACTTTTTATTTTTATAGTTTGATTATTTATCTACAGATCTATCTTTCTCTCGTTAGTTATATGCTGCAACAATGAGTATAGATGAGCCAACAAATCAATTAGTACAACCTAGTGGCGAAGATCGCGAATCAATCACGTATACAAAAGGTACACATAAATATTAATACATATTCTAACTTCATCTATCTCGTTCTAATTTTTATTTTATTTAGAATCAAATTTTCTTCTTCCATCTCGTGAACAGTTTATTGTACAATTATTTTCGCCTACTCAATGGGAACAAATTCCAAATGCCAAGTATATTTTATGTTTTAATCCTAACGAAACTTTTTACTTTTGATTTCTATTTTTTAGGATAACCATGAATGATTGGGAACATGTAACGTGTATGAAAACAATTGCTCTAAAATTTCAAGGAGCACTAATGAAAACGTATATTGCAATTGGTACAGCGAATTGTTTCAATGAAGATGTGAATAGTCGAGGACGAGTAAATATAAAAATAGTACTAGTTGAAAACTACAACAAAAATTAAATTTTTACAATTTTTAGATCATTTTATTTGATATTATTGAAGTTGTTCCAGAATTAAATCAACCTTTAACAAAACATAAAATTAAAGTATATCTGATTCTAAATGAAAATAAATTATTATTCATTTGAATATATTTAATTTAGATTGTTCATGATAGAGAAGAAAAAGGTCCTGTAACCGCACTGGAATCAGTTGTGGGTTATCTGATTGGAGCCGTTGGTCAAAAAGTTTATATTTGGCAATTTAAAGATGATCAATTGAAGGGCATTGCATTTGTTGACATTCAAGTTTATTGTCATCGTATGATTGCAATGAAAAACTATATTCTAATAGCTGATGTTCATAAAAGTATCGCTCTTCTACGTTATCAAGAAGATATGCGTGTTTTATCCTATGTTAGTCGTGATTCACGAAAATTAGATGTTTATACAACAGAGTTTTTTGTTGATCAAACACATATTAAATTTGTGACAACAGATGCAGATAAAAATTTGTACATCTATTCTCATTCGCCCATACAAAAAGAAACGGCAGGTGGAACATGGCTGGCACGAAAATCAGAATTTCATGTAGGATGTCACATTATGTCAGCTGTTCGATTACAAGTAAATACAAATAATTTATCAACAAAACAAAATTATGAAGGAAAACAGGCATTAATTATGCGTGCGTAAAAATCAAGAGAAAGAATATTTTTTCAGTTAACTGTTGATATTTTTTTTTTTTTCCATTTTAGCTACATTAGATGGGGGTATTACATGTTTATTGCCACTAAATGAAAAAATATTTCGCCGATTAGGCATGTTACAAAATTCTATGACTTCCATGTTTCCACATTATTGTGGTTTAAATCCAAAAAGTTTCAGGTAAAGTTTCTTTGTCTAATACACGTAAAAACTGATTAATATTCATATCTTTGTTACAGAGCATGTAAGACACGAATGAAAGAACTAGAAAATTCACAAAAAAATACACTTGATGGTGATTTATTATGGAAATATTTTGATTTAAGTTTTATCGAACGTAATGAATTATTAAGTCGACTAGGAATGACATCAGACCAGGTAGACTTTAGTCAAAAAACCTATTTCATTTCATTTGACCAATAAAATTTTTTATCTTTTCATTTAGTTTCATGAAGATTTGACCGATATACTTCGAACGCTTACATTGTTCTAATTTACGTGTGATTTTCTTCTGTGTTTATCTGTGAGAAAATGTCTTATTTGTTGTTATTGTATATATATTTTGTTTCTGTGTTCTTTTTTTTTTGCTCATCAGCCATCTTAGTGGCATTCTGTTGTTGTTGTTCTTTTTTATTTTCTCGTTGCTACAGTGTAAAAGATGTTTAGCAAATTTTTTTTGTACTCTTAAAGTTTGAAATGAAAATGAATTTGCCTATTTCTACAGAACAAAATAAATCAAAATACTGAGCCGATAAAAGAAATTCATTGCCGTAGAATAAAAAGTTATTTTAAAAATTAGAAACGTCAATATCTTTCGTTACTTTCAATGATATTTTCTTGATTTCACATGTTTAGATGTCAAAAGTGAAATGGATAACAAAGCAAATAATTTTATTAGTTCAATTTTATTTTTACCGTTATTAAGGATCTCTTCTTTTTTCAGATAATCATACCAAAAAGCGTCTAAGATGAGACAACTGATCACTTTTCTCGTCTATGACTTTGTTTATATATTGTGACTGGTGACCTACCAAATGACTAGCGAACGTAGTAATATGATGTATCGTATTTGAAAATTTATTTACAACAAAATCGAAGAACTCTACAAAAATGAAAGCACGAAAACTGGTGTCATTCATTAAGGAGAGTTTGTCCGATCTGCGTGTATTTGCTGATGAAACTGAACGAAATATGTGTAGTTTATAAGCTATTTTTGAAATGTCTTGGGAATTTGAACAAATATCAAATTCAATAGTCAAATGTAAGTTATATAAAGCAATTATGTTTCAATAAGAAAATATTTTTTACGCGAAAGAATTAAAAACCGATTGACAACAACAGCAACTATTAGATTAGAAAAATAAATGGCTTTTTGTCTTGCACTTTTTTTTCTATTCTTGTATCTTTTTTTTTGAGGAAGTTTTGCACTAGTGACTTTTGTAACGATACTTTTGTGGAACTTTATTACTTATTTGGCGTCATATCTTATTTGATCAGAAAATGAATTTTTGCCTTTAGTTCTTTTTATTGAAAACGTGTTTTCACAAGGATTTCATTGTTGAGAATGTCAGGTGTGAATATCATTTATCGAACATTTGCATTGAATAATAATCTTAGTCGACAGACAAAATATAGCGATTTTCTATGTTCTATGAAAAATTTCATGTAAACAAAACAATTTTACATCATTTCATACGTGAGAAATTGCTCTTTTTGTTTCTAGATTATACAATACTTGGCAGGTCACATCCGCCATATATTTAACTAAATCATTCCAAACAAAAATAACACGTATCAAACATATTTGAAATTAAAACTGTTGCGTTATAATATCCTTTTGTGAATGAATTTTGAGGATTTCAACAGAATGTTTTGTCATATCGTCATTGTTGTTGTCGATGATTCTTTCAATGACAAATGCTTGCTCCGTTGATTCTTCTAAAAGTGAAAACGACTTTAATATTTAAAATAGGAATAAACAACAATTCGAAATCAAATACCAAGCTTTTGTCGAAACAGTGCATAAGTCGATTCATTGCGTATTACATTTGCCATGAATACGATACAGGAAGAATTATTTATCAGAAGTTTCTTCAACGTTTTAATTAGACTTTCAATAATTGACGGATCGTAAATGACGTCTAAAGATGACAAGAGATTCTGTGAATATTTGTCTTTTGTATCAAAATCAATGAATTACCTGAAGCAATGATCAAATCATATAGATCTGTTGTAAGCTTATCATACTGATTCCAGTCTAATTCTTCTATTTGCACTTTCGTATGATCCTACTAAATTTTACATCATTTCAAAAAAATGAATGATGACTTCGAAAATACTTACGTTTTCTGAACGAATAGTCCATTCGTTATTTGCACAACAATCCAATTGAGGAAAGTTTATTGATAAATTTTGACGTAATAAGTTCAACACATGATCTGAATAATCCGAGAATACAAATGTTCGAATATCGATGATATATTTTAACAAAGAAAGTCCAAGAATACCCACTCCACTTCCAAGTTCTAGAATTTGTCTGAAAAGTAGAAAAAGAAAATTGAATACTTTGGTGGCTATTAAGGGATTTCAAGTATATTTCGGTCGGTCATTAGTTCTCTATTCCGTACCTTCGTTCGATAAAGCTCTAATACAACATAATTTAGATTTGTTTCATATGTAACTGCCTTGTGTTGTAATTGCATATGCATACAAAGTGTAAAAGCATTTTTGTCTTTAGAAATGATGAGACGATAGATAGAAAAAGCAATGTTTCTATGTTTTAGAATGCAACAGCATTTTCAACTAAATTTTATCTTTTCTAGTCTTTCTCTGAACTACTAGGTCATTTTTGTAACAAAACTCACTATTATCGAAAATTTGAGACAACTCGCTATACTTGAATTAACCATTACAAAAACCTTCGAAAATTGTAACCGAATGTCTTTTCCTGGAGGTCAGATCTATCTGAGACTTTTTTTCAAAGAAAATTTACTGTTCACCTAAAGCATTTTCATATGCTACGAAAAAAGAAATTACTACTATCTGAATTTTTCGAAAAGAAGAAAGTTCGTATTCTCTGTATTTAGCGGTGCGATCAATCACGAAAAAGCAGCATTCTTTATGAGATTTTTAGAAGAAAAGGCAAGTGAAACGTTTTACGCATTTATATGCAGTGCATGAGAAGCTCGAAGAAGGTTAGACCTTCAGGCAAAAAGTTCTCCGAAAAGTCTGAAAGGCTAGAAAGATAAAATTTAGTTGAAAATGCTGTTGCATTCTAAAATATAGAAACATAGCCTTTTCTATCTATCGTCTCATCATTTCTAAAGATAAAAATGCTTTTACACTTTGTATGTTTATGCAATTGCAATACAAGGCAGTTACATACAAAAATAATCTACATTATGTTGTATTACAGCTTTATCGAACTAAGGAACGGAATAGAGAACTAACGACCGACCGGAATAAACGCTCCCTAAGCTTACTTATTTCTTAATAAATATCCATTTTTCATCAAGTAATTTGCGAGATAAATGGCTGAAGGCCAAATAGATAATCCTGTATTGCCTTGCGACAACAATGCTGTTGTCTGACGTATAATTACTGTTTGATTATTATCCTAATTAGAAATTGATTAATCATTCTAGCCGTGATATGAAAGATCAGTCGAAGTAGTTACTAAAAGGTAGACTGTATGATTCCAATCTTGTTCACAATCGTTAGCCATTAGTTTAGAAATAATTTCAAACCACTGATCATCGATCTCCATATTGCACTTTTCAGCCTAAAAGAAAATTTAAAAATAGTATGTATCAAACATCTACGTATATCGTAAATAAATGTCATACACTTCCTGGTTGTATGAGTAGAAATGTTAGCCCCGCATCTACCGACAGAAAGTCTTTTCGAAGTTTCTCGCCGCCGCTGATCAAACAACCTTTTTGTGAAAAATTAATAATTTTCTTGTCTGACAAAAGTACTTTTGGGAGAAAATATCGTGTAGCAGTCGATTATCCTTAAAACTTTGTACAATGACGATTTTCGAATCAGCTAAAATCTGTGTATGAATCTTCATAACCGAATTCCGATATGAGAGCGATCTCTATGTTATCGATAATGAATAAATGAGCAAGACTAATTACCCATTTTAAAAATGTTTTAGCAAAGGATTTTTGATAAATGATACGTAAACAGCAGTGTTCGAAGATTGGATTTGAAAATGTTTGTTCAAGAAGAAACTTTTGAAATTCTGTATCGTTGTTGATAAATTGTTCGCGCCATTTCTATATCAAATTAATTTAATCAACATTCCTAATATATCGGTTTTTCGATTAAAAATATACATACCTCTAACATATCATCTGTTATTTTTAATCCGCGCCCATAAACTGCGGCTGAAGTGTCAGTTATGAACATGAAAAACGACAGTAATTCTAAAAATGGAAACTTTTCCATTGCTGTAAGATGAACTTTCTGAGTTATAACAATACTTTTGAAATTTATTAAACAAAAAATTCTAACATTTTAATACTGCCAAAGTTTATCTTGAAATATATATTATTATTTGAGTACAGAAAAAATTACAGAAAAAAACGACTATTTGAAAGTACACACTTAGAAATTAACTCTAAATTTCACTTTTTGATATCGAATTATAATTGAATTAAAAAATCTTTGTTTAATATATACCATATTTTGGAATTATGCCAAGCCTTGATTCGACCAGGTATTAACCACTTTTTAAAAATCGTTAGCTAGATCATTCATATTTACTCATCTACACTTTTTTTTATTCAATGTTCTCGATTTTAACTCTACCATACTAATCTCGTTCCAATTATTTGAGTTTTTTGAAATGAACATTTTGGTTATGAATGATAAATGACAAAGTCAGTTTCTCGTACGTTATAAACGACTTTGTTCGATTTGTTCGGTATCTTCAGTAGAGCTTTTGAAATGAAGTGTTTCTTTGCCAGAACGATTGTTCTCACTTTCACTCGCTGAGCTCGGCAGCGAGAGATTGGTCATGTGCATTTTGTGATTACTGTCGCTAAATGAATTCGTGTCTGAAACCCAACAATAGGAGCAACACACGCTGCAACTGCGTTAATTGTCTTGGATAGTCGATGAATCAGTTGTCGTTTTGGACTGTGGACGGAGTTTGATACGAATCTTTGAGTTATCGGCAAGCGATAAAAGAGTCGAAGTATCAATCATCCAGTCATCCTTTGTGTCTATTAATAAGATCTCGACACCCGACGTAATTCTGAAGTAGTGCCGAATGTATGTCATGATCTGACCCGGTGGTGGGCGAGTAGAAATTTGTATCGAAGTTCATCTTTATGGTCCAAATAGAAACATATAATTTTGACCGATGAATCCATATCGATAAACTTGTCAATGATCTGAAAGAAGAATGATCGTTTAGAATGCACCGACGACACAGACAATCAAATTATATGAAAGAGTATCAAAATGAGGGTCAATTTGGGCAGGCGGATCACTACTGCTGTCATCGCACACACAATACGCGACAAAAAAAAAATTTCAAAAGGAAAGCCAACTCAAGATATGGTGGTCAGTATCCTTCCCTTGTGTCCAACTAGATATGACTGGGATAATTTCTTACAAATTATTTGAACCAGAAGTGAAACTGTTTCTTGTCTAGGGTATTATAAAATACTTTTGTGTTCTGTCTATCCGCAAAACATGAAAATGGAAAATATGGAAAACTGTCTTTGAGGACCAGTTCTTAGAAGCCATATGGACGCAAAAAAAGACTGGATCCGTGATCAGCATTCAAAATAACCCCTTAACAATAATTTTTTATTGAAATACAATTGAGAAGCATCGAGACGTCAATATATTTCAAACTTGAGCTCGAACGACAGAAAAGCACTTTAATAGGCAACGAAAAACGTTTTTTGATTCGACCAGTTTCTAGTAATGCATACATCAAAATGTGATGACCAAATGAAATTATTTTCGAAGTCCTGAAATATTATACATCTAGAAATAACGACAAACAATGTATATTATAAAACATTGTTTGGTTTATTAATATTTTCATTATGTTTCTCTCTCATTTTCCTAATAGGACTTTTGGCTCCATGGTAACACTTTAAATCACGTATTTATGATTATCAAATGCAAAAGCAAAGTCTCGAACATGTATCATTTTGTTCAACATACGAAACATATGCGGATCGACCTTTTCAAATCATAGAATGAAGTTTATTAAGACAATTGAAGTTATATAAGTTCAGATGTTCCATTTATGTAACTTTATTAGCTTTTTCATTGATATGCTTTATACGAGTAGAATTCTGCCTAGGAAGCAGAGAAATCCAAAGATATACTTATTTTTGTTGAAATTAGATGTTTTTTCAACTCACACTCTCAAATTCGGTGTGATTATTGTCAAAAAGTAGACATTATACTTATTCCGATGATTCTAAGCTAAATTCATATATTCTGTGACACTAAGCGAAGCCAGTTTCTGATAAAATTTTAGCAATCCAAGATCTACTATTGTTGCATTATAACAACGGGATCCCATTAGATACAAACGTGCAATAAACTATCGGTTCATTTAGTAATAATCGCGTAATTTGATTTTATGTTTTTCTAAGGATTTTAGTGTTAATCTAGATTTTCTCTGACAGATTTTATTTCATTTGATACTACAACAATTACACTAAAATTGACGAAACAAACTAATACATCTGCACATGCACATACAAACAATCAAAATAGCTATGTACTTTTTCTATTTCACAGATGAGTATAAATGATTGACAACATTATTATTAAACTTGAAATATTACAGAAGTCAAACTATCAGTAATGATAACAAAATATGTCGGTCACTGTTTCCATCAAAAGGATTACAACAGTAGCTCAAAAGTTTAATAAATTAAAAAAAACAAATCACGAAAAACAGTTAAAAAATAAAAAATATTCTTGTCAGTATATTAGAGTAGCACTGGTTTTTTTGATTATGATTAGATCAAACATATTTATCAGACGTCAACATATTCGTTTCATTCGAAGTAATTTTTGAAAAAAGAAAACAAATTCAATAAAAGAACAAAATTAAAAAGAAACGAAAAGTTAGATAAGATATAGAAAAATTTTTTGATTGCATTAATTAATGTTTGTTTGGTAAAACGATAGCAATTGGTAATTTGCCTGTTGCCGATCCTAATGAACCACTCGACATTAATCGACGAGCGGTTAATATTATATCAGTTGCGGATTCTGAATTTGAATAACAGGAGACGGGCAGTGATAAAGTATTCTAAAAAAAAATAAAAGATCAATAGTGCTATGTGTTATATTTGAAAAGCCCTGATTAGAAACAGATTAGATGACTTTTAAGAGTTTCTTCAATAGCTTAATCGTACGTCTCTTTTTTGCTCATTCAATTTTTTTAGTTTAAGCAAATAAATACAGTTATTAATGTAAGTTTTGTGTTAGCTTGATTATGAATCAGTATATTGCAATACAGCCAAAATTAGTTGTAGTATATAAGCACAAACTCTTCACTCTTTTTTCATATTGTTCATTCAGTCGTAGTGATAAATTACTTATTTATGGATCTTAACCGACTTTTCGATATACTAATTTGTCATACTCTAAAGTATAAAAATTACAGTGCGCGAATTAGAAAGCAATTTGTGTACAATTTGATGGCCAAATAACTTAGAAGCAAAATGAGGAGTAGTGGTATGGAGAGATATTGAAAAATAATACGTTTAATGAATAAAGTAAAGTTTGTTAGGTGACCTAAAACAAATTTGTTTTAAATATATCTGAACAAAGAACGAACTTACATAGGGTCGAGAGTTGAATGTTTGATAGATGTTTGTACGTTGAGGAGAAAGTGATTGAAGATCATATTGAGACCAATCGGCTGGACATGGTGTAGTTAGATGTCCTGACCAATTTGATAATTCATGCTAGAAAGTCATACATATGAGTTAAGTGCTGGTACATATGAGTAAAATGAAAAAGAGCTTGCTTACTGTTTTATAGTATTCAATTAATTGATCAATAGTTCTGTGAACTTTTGGCTCACCAATAACATTGTATTTGGCATTTTTTAATTGATTAATCATATAATGACGACATCGATCGGCAGCTCTGAAAAAAAAATAGCTTTTAATACCTATTTGTCTAATAAGCCATTCTTTTATTTTGCATTCTTACTTGAATGATAATGAAAAACCGAAACGACTCTCGGATATTCGAATTAAAAAACATCCAACAAATTGATTGATGAGTAAATACTCAGCTTGACTAAAAATGAACAAATTAAATAAGAACCCTACAAAAAAATATTTTATCGGCACTGGTTGTGCACGGATGCGCACCAGTGCCAGAAAGCATGTAAAAATCTCGCACTGATGTGCACCAGTGCTGAAGTTTTGTTTTCAATCATCATTTTGTTTCGTCAATTTCTGTCTATATTAACACCACAGTATATTTCTAATTTTTATTAGTGCTTCACTGGAATTTTTTTATAGGGAAATGAATAAGTTGAAAGATAAAATTTACTTTAATTTGATTTTTAAGAAATTCTTACTGTCTAGTTATGCTTCCGTGAAACCAAGATGGAAATGATCTGTCTGATCGAATGACAAACGGATATTGAGTATCACGAAACCATCTAAAACAGATGTAGATAGAATAGAAAGATAAATGAAGTTATGGTTGACAAAGAGTACGCACCTTAGACAAGATTCTCGATCAGTAGGCGATCCATATTTCAATGTCAAATTCGTTAATAGAGAATCATAATCCGCTGTACTTTGAATTGATGATGACGACACAGTTGATGCGGCAGTAGATGATGGAACTTTTTCAGTTAATATTGGGTGATTACTGATTTTATTCGTATGTGCACTGTTTTGAGTGTGTATATTTTTAGTCGGTAACGTAACTGTTGATGCTGGTAGCATGGAAATAGTTGCTAATGAACTTTGTCTCGCCGGTGGAAATGGAACAGCAGGCTTGCCTAAATGAACAACCACAGCAATTTTTTAGTATATAGAGTAAAGGTGATGCTTGAATATAATACCTGGGAGTTTATCATTTAGTCTAAGAAGAGTATTGAGTACTTGTACATTCATTTGTTCAATTGTTGCACAAAAATTATATACTTGATCAACAGATTTTCTGAAATTTAAACGTAACTGCGAGTAACGTCGACGAGCTACATAACCTCGAAAACCTTGAACGAAAGATAACAAAATTAAATCATTTTGTCATAATTAGTTATTTGAAGAAACGTACGTCGTTGGATCTTTAGTGCAGCTTCACGATATTTATTCATCATTGAATCTAATATTTCTGGATGGTAATATTTCAAAAAAACTTTTGTTTTTCTAAAAAATGAATAAAATATATTCAACGAACAAATTTTCTACCTTCTATAATTACCCAATTTGCCAACAACTTAATTTTGCCGATTCCAAAATAGATGCACAACTACTTCCTGTATAATTCAACACTTTATCTCGTGCTAATAGACCATATCTGTTAATAAAGAAAAATCGAGTGCTTTTCAAAAAATCTATATTTACACGAAGATTTAATAAAACTTACCTTTGAATAAATTCTGCAAACGGAATGCGTACTGAATATCCTTCTTTTCTTATTCTTGTTGTTTCGAGCATACCGCAATAACGAAGCTAGAACATCAAATTCATTTTCTATTCAAAGTAAATAGGATATCAATAGTTTTGACTATTACCTGACCACGAACAAACGTTTCATCAAATAAATTTGGTTGTTTCTGTTGATTTGGCTTAATACATCTCATGAATACAGGATGAGATGAAGACATGCGTTCCATAAGAATTTGAAGTGAATTCTATAAAATAATAATGATGAAGAATAAAAACGTTTGTATTAATAGATAATTTGAATATACCCTGTATTGTGCTCCAACCGTCATACGATTTTTAGCATCTTTCTCAGCTGCTGTTCGATATATCGCCTTTTGTGTGTGGTATGGTTCAACCGATTTTGATCGTACCGTACCGTTGAATAATTCATAAATTAAATCATCTCGACTGTTTCCTAGTAAATCGACGACACTATCGGGTAGAGTATCTTTATTTTTTTCAAGAAATCCATATGTATTATAAACCACTTTGCCAGCATAATGATAAATTGTAAATGATAATTTGTTATTACGATTTTTTCCATAACATTCACGTTTGCTGGCAAAATGATAATTGAATTTTTCAACTAATGTTGCATCACTTGCCTATAATAAAACTATCAACTAAATTATTAAGCCTTAAATAAATTATTTTATTACCTTTGGCATTTTACTTTCATCGTCTAGTAACGAAAGAATCCCAATCGGTTTTGCCATAAATAACTCCTAGAAAGAAGCATCATCAGTCAATATCAGAGACAATCGTAACCTCGAAAATCAATCCTTACCAATAGCGGTTGATTATCAGTAAATGTAAGTGATTCGCCAGTGATGCATTCAGTTTCGTACTCGGTCATCTCCATTCGAAATATATGCTAGAGATGAACCAGAAAAAAGTGTGAATGAATAACTAGAAATAAAACATCTCCAACCAAAGGTACGTGGAATTTCGGTATAGTAACCGTCCTAAGTATTCAATTCATTCTATCGTCTGGATCTTGTATATCATGATCGATTTGCATCAAAAATTTTGTATACATAAAGCAGAGACGATGATCAACTAACAAATTTCAGTCTTTAAAAATCTTTCATTTTTAGGATATCACGGTATTTTTTACTATCTTTTCAATAAAATGATCCGAAGTCAATATTAAAAAGTAAGATTTAATCAAATTCGCACTTTCTACTAATAATTCCGTCGTAGAAAATATTTATTCATAAGATATGCTAGAATTGGAGTTTTCCCAAGAAATTATCCGTCAAAAATATGTTGTTCAGTTATTTGGTCATTTATGAGATAATCAAGAGGCTGAAATTTGTTGAGTAATCATCGTCTAGGCATGTACCTATTTAGCATCTCATTACATTGAATCCTTCCATAATGTATAATGATGCGAAGATTCAAACAAAAAATGGAAGTGAGGTTTTTGCATGCTTAATGACAAAAATTTTAAACTTCACTATTTGAACTCTAAACTATCATGGAAGATTCAGGTTCAACCAAAAATTTATAATAGGTAAACACTCGGAGCACACCATAGCGACTTACATTTAAGCACTTTACTACTATATTTTTCTTGACTTTAAATCAATATTCTTGTACAATTAATATCGTATTCGAAATCAGTGCGGTCAACTGCCATTAGCTATATATGTTTTAAATGTTTCTTTTTTAAAAAAAGCGATAGTACGCTTGACTTTAATCAACAGTAAAGTCAAAAAACAAGTTGAATGCGTAAAAACAATATGTTTCAAGCTAAAATATGCGCCTTTGATTCACGGTTAAGAAAAGTAAATGTTTTTTTGTACTTGTCGCGAGATATCCTGGAGACTTTATTATTTTTAAAATTTACGGCAATTTATAATAACTAACAGTGAAGTTTCATATCTCCTGGTTTCACACATAAAAGGATCTCACTTTCTATTTTTCTCCCACTGAGCAACAGTCAGACTACGTTTGATGGCTGCTGTAATATACATATATATTAATATAAACAATAGAACACAGTGAGCGACTTTGGTGAAATAAGGAATCACTGTACAATTAATCATTTGGAAACATTCATATTAAAATGATAAACTTCGTAAGATTAAAAAAAATAAAGTCTTTCGTTTAATCTGAGCATTGGCATTCACAGATTTGATACGATATTGAACAACTATTTGTAAAGCAAAACATATTTACAGAGTTAATTTCTACAGGAAAGGATGTAAAATCAATAATCCCTTCTATACTAAAAATTTTATATTTTGTACAGATCAACTGATATTTCTATAAAAAAATTCAATCAAAAGTATTTGAATCATCAAATATGAATAACTCAAAAAAAATTTCAGCAGCATTTCGTTCGTTATGTTACCTTCATCCAAATTCTGCTTTTATTTCCTGAAATATACAGTAATGAGTAAACTCTTTGACACAACTTCGTTCAATCTTCTCTCGCATTAAAATTTAATTAAATAAATACGAGTAGTAAAAAAAAAGTAAAATAGAACATACTTGATTAAAAAAGTATTGAATCTGTTCGTTAGCCAAATTGATACACAATTGCTCAAAGCTGTTGTTTTCAAAATGTTCAAAACCTTTAAAACAGAAAGAATGATAAGATATCTGTATTTTTATTTAGATATTATATTATCTTACCATAGATGTCCAGTAAACCGATTTCAAGTAAACATGAATAATATGGTTTATTCGATAAACATGATGTATCTAATGTTCCATTTATTTTTGATATAAGAAATGAGAATAAGCGTGCATAAAGATGTTTGGATAATGCATCTCGAGCATCTAAATACGAAGAATAAGTAATAAAAATACATATATTATATGAGAGATTACCTTGGCTTGACTGTAAACTGTATTTTCTTGTCACTCGTTCATTTCGAGTCAATGTTGTAACTGTTGTTAAACACTCCATTAAAAGATTCGAAGAAACACCAAACATTTTCTACATAAACATATAAAGCATTCTAATAAAATAGTTCCGCTTCTCCGCTATACAAATGAGGAACGTACCGCTGTAATAGCCAAGTCTCGTTTTGTATTTTCTTCATTTAATGTTTGTACAGAGAATCCTGCAATTATAAAAAACATGAAATAGAAAATAAAAGTTTTCCTTACACAAGCTTTTTACCTTCATCATCAGCAGAAAATTCAATATTTCCTAATGTCAATATTCCAGACAAAATACAAAACATTGAATTTTGTTCCTAAAAAATGTGATATTCATTAAAGCTTTATCTGTCAACAATTGAATTTTTTCCTTATACTTTGTCGGTAAAACCTAGTAAACCCATTGCATTGATTACTTCGTCAAGTTTATTACTATGTTGGATAGAGTCGTATGAAGCGGGTAATGTCAATTTCGGCGTAGCGCCTTTGGATATATATCTATAATTCAGTTATAAAATTAAATTTCAGTTTTATAATAAGTAATTTTTTTCTACTCACTTATAATTTGTTTGATTTGTTAAGTGTAACATTTCTTTCATAGTTGTTGGTAAATAATCAAATAAATAATAGAATATGTGAAAATTTCTTTCTCCGGTACTTTGAATAACAACTCGTGATTTTTCAAGTAGATAGTCATTTATCTGAGCACCAATAACTATAAGGAAATACATTTAACAAAATGACATAGTAAAACAGAAAGACAATTGAAATAAACCTCTTCCGTTAATGAATTTTAAATCAATATATTTTCCGAAACGACTTGAATTATCGTTCATTATTGTTTGAGCATTTCCAAATGCTTCCAAAAGAGGATTGGCCTAAGCAAAGAAAATAATTAGTATAACATTTGAGTTTTCTTTAAAATCTTAAAAAATTAAACGTACTTGTAAAATCTGTTGTTCTAATTGGGTACTGCCACCGCATAAATACATTAACTGTTTTAAAAAAAACTTTGTACTTTCTGTCTTGCCACTTCCACTTTCTCCACTGAATGAAAAAAAGTTCGTTACTATGATTTATCTAACATAAAACGTTCTTGCTCTATTAACGATTCAAAATGGCTCGCCTCTATAGTAATTAAAACAAAAACAGTTTCTACAAACCTTATAACACAACATTGTTGTTTATATAAACTATGAAAAACGTTCTGGTAAACAAGATCAACTAATGCATAAACATGTGGCAACGTATTGCTTTTCAGTGATTTTCGATATGATTCTCTTATCTATAAAAAAGAACACGAAAAGTTTGTATATTTATGAATTTCTACTATTTAACTAGTCTCTCTTCCACTTTATGAAAACTGCTCTAAGACGATAGGATAACAAAGGAATAGATGAATAGTTGTTATTGATTACGATAAGACTCATCTCATTGTTCGAAAACGTCTTTAATACCGCATAAATGAAAAAACATCAAATAGATACCGTCTTTGAATATAAGTTTGTTTCTTTGAATGGATTGATTGATACAAGTATATCACCAAGGTAAGTCTACAAAAAACGAAACAAATATAAATGTTTTTTTAGTACTGAGAATATATAGGCATTGGATAACCTACGTAAATCAAATCTAATTTATAACGACGTTGTAAATGTTCCAATAGAATATCTTCCGTAAGATTTGGTAATTTTGCTAGATCATTGCACTCTATCTCATTATTTGTTGAATCACATGGATTTTCATTACATAATTTATCATATTGATTTTCTGTAATAATCGCCATATTTTCTCAAGAAATAGCACCTATATTTGACATATCTATAAAAAAATAAATAAGATAGATGAGACATTGTCTTAACTTAAACTCGACAATTGTCTAAATAAGACTTATTGTTTAACAAGTCACTTTGTTACCGTCTGTTCGTATTAATCCGCTGTTTAACACCTTAAATATGTAATACTTACACAATAAACAAAAATTGCCAGCACAAGACACATCGAGAGATGTACAAATAGTTTTTTGTTCCTCTCTTTTTTTTGTCTTTCTCATGTCATCTTATTAACATGAACGAAACGTCATTCAATACAAAATATCGGTCTATTATTCTTTTTCCTCCCCGTGTGTTATCCTATATATATTTATATTGACGGTGATTTATCATTTTTCAATGATTTTTATTCAATTTACATCAATCACCATCTTTTCAATATTCTCTCTCTTTTCGGTATATCAGGAGCGATGAAAAGCAATATACTTGAAAATGACTTCTTTGATATATGTGTATATATATATATATCAGAAACGATAGAATAATTTTCACTCAATTGATATTTGATAGGCAAACGAAATATGATCGATTTAATATTAAAAGAATTGAAAGCAGACTATCAGAAAATTTCAAGGTGTAGTATTTATGAATAAATAACTTCATCCTCAAACATATCTTTTGTGTTAACTTCAGAAAATTGAATCTGCCCTAGTTATTAAACAATGTAGCAAAAAGTAATTCGCTTTATTCATAGAGACGACATAACTTTACTAAGGAAAGGAAAGTGTCATAAGCACTAGTACAGTTCTCTCGTTTGTGATATACTGTTTAACACACTGACTGATATAAAATTGTTTTAGCCATCAATTGGATTATTCTTATATAATTGAAACAAACTGTAAGTAGAATCGATACTGTGGTTTAATCTTACACTTTCTGCAGAATTCTTGCGCTCTTAGAGAACGGCCATTCTACATAACGATCAGCTCTTGACTTAAATAATGTAGGGAGTTGGGAAACATTCTTATTTTGCAGCTCACATATTTCTCATGACAGTTAGGTAACCAGGAATGTCAACTCAAAAAATAGTAAAGGGGGACTGTTGTTTCTACAAAGGGGAACAACACAAAACACATTATTTAACGTGTGATGTCATTGAGAAAATTAAAGGCACGTGAGTATATATTCTTTTATTTTGGGTTTTCTAATATTACTATGTCAAAACATATAATTTAAGGCAAATATCTTTTGTTGCACTAAAAACAATAAATGATCAATTTAAACGTAATTTTTAACTTCTATGTACATATTTTTCATTTCCACGAATACTCTTGAGAAGTTCTTTGTTATTTAAAATCAAAGAATGAAAATTAGTACACGTTAAGTTTGTATTCATTTTAATTGTCAATTCTGCGTTCAGTGTTTATTCTTATGTGAAATCTCCAAGATTTTCCGATTTAAATCTAAAATCGCTAAAACTCGGTAAAAATCATTGAAAGTTGGTGAAAATTGAAAAAGCAGCTGCTTTCCCCTTGGGGATTTCACGTAAGAAAAATTACTAAACGCTCTAGGTCTGTTGACTGGAAGCGCAATACAAAAGTGAAAAGTTCAAAAGAAGACTGTCAAAAGAAAATATCCTTGAAAAGGGGGATATCCTGGGCAACAGATTTTTTGCGGACAAATCTTTCAATGTAGGACTCCCCCTTATGGCAACGTTCAGCCGGTTTAGTAGATGAACCGTATCAGACAACAGCCACTTTTAGGAAAAGGTTATGTGACTCAAGAGCTACGAATTTTCAAAAATGTATCGAAATTACGCAAAAATTGACCGTTATGTGGAGTCGCTGAAAAATCATTTTTATTTTCGGGAAAAAATAATTATTCCATATCAGTGCAACATCATTCAACTCAACTAAGCGTATCATTCGTTTTAACATTCCTTCAAGCAGAGAACAAGTTAACAAAAAAGACATTTGTTTTAGATTTTCTTTAATCATATCAAGTTATAGTACGTATAGTTTCGTAATTACATAGAAAGAAGTTATATAATTAGACAGCGCAGACCATTTCACACTTATTGCATAAAAAAATATATTTTACAATAATCATTGGAAAAGAGATAAGAAAAATTAGAGCGATAGAAAAAAAACAAATTAATTCGTTAAGCAAAAGAGTAAACGACATATTAATTTCAAAAATAACACAGCAAAAAAGTAGCTTAATTATCACAAAATGAACGCTAACAAAAGAAAAATAACAACAGTAAAAATATCACCGGACATGAACAAAATTTTTTTATATAACAATAAATAAATAAATAAATAAATAAATAATAAATTTGACATATATAGATTGCCATTCTTTAGATTTCAAATAAAAAAAGTTAATAAATGCACATTGAAAGACCTGATGCTTTATAATTACAAATAGAAAACTCAATATATTTTGAACAGGATTTTATGCTGAACATGTAGCTAATGGCTTATAGCAAGTATACTAATTGATTGTAGAATATATATACATAAAATTACAGAAATTAAGTAAACAAATAAATACAGTTTCAAGCATAAAATATTTCTTGTCTCATCATAATTGATAAAAAAAAGTCAAACTTAGAAAAATACATATCACAAATAAATAATTGCTTAATTTTTTTTGTCAAATTTACCAGACAAAACTTGTATAACATAATTGATTGTTGTTGGATGCTTCAATATAGCCAAATGTTCCACACCAGGTAATTCTAAACTTTTAATATCTTGAGTTTGTTTACCAATCCATTTTTCATGTACTAATAAACTTCGCATATTAACAGTACCATCACCATTGTCGGGTAACACAACAGGTTGTAAATCAGGGAATGTTTGTTGATTATACATGAATACACCTGGTGTTGGCAGTTGACTACCATAGAGTGCATGTACTTCGATATCGGGTGGTTTTAATTCATCTACAAGATCTTTGACATTTAGCCAATATTGATAGCCAGTTGTATAATTGATATCATTAAAGAATTCATCATAGTTTTGAACAGTATAATTTTTAGACGGGGTTATCACTAACACGTCTTCTTTACTCCAAATATTTGGACTTGGCATGACAAACGCCGTACTGGGTGCCGAACGTTGATAAGGTCTCACTTGTATAGGTGAAACAACATAAACCTAAAAGAAATGAAATATGCTAAATTGTAAATGCTAAATTAAAACTATTGCCAAACTCACATCGATATTATCGCCACTAGCCATCAAACGTAATGCTTTAACAGCTCCACCCCATGGTGATGCAATTGTGATTATTGAACGAATATATTTTTCTTTAAATTCTGGTGTTATTTGATGAAGCCAATACAAAGCAAATGGACCACCCATACTGTGCGTAATCAAGACAACTTTTGTTTGATTATTGTTGTTGTAAGTATCAAGAACTAAATTTGTTAAATTAAGAAAATAATCTTCTTGTTCGTCTGGTGCACGCCTAAAATCGTATCTGAAAAGAAAAATGAGTTGAAAAAAATGAAAAATTAATTTAGATCATGAACTCACGGTGCACCTCGAAGATTCAATCCACGTGTATAGCCAAGCGCTACTAATGATCGAACGATTGGAGCAAAGTAAGATGAATAAGATAAGCCACTTGAATCAAAATATTCAATTGTTGATGTTTGACCAAAACCAGGTATTTGAATGTCGACACCATCAATATTTGATGTTTTACGGGTAGTAGTATTATAAACTAAACGCATATTATCAACAAAACAATCAATTACTTCCGGTAATAACAAGCGTACGTCCAACCATAATTCGAACCAATCTGAATGACGATAACACCATAGATGTGGTACACTGGAACGATTTAATTTTGCCCATATTTGAGAACCAGCATTACCCGGCAAGAAGATAGCAGGGTATCGTACATCATCACTCGCAACAAAGTTAGTAGTAGAATACAAGGAAAAATAAATAAATACAGCGGACAGAAAATAAAAACTCATAGTGATGCTCTCAATTTGTATTAAAAAAGGACGGAAAACAGAACTGTCTCATTCGAAAAAATGTTAAGAAAACAAAATATGTACAAGGGAGAAAAAATAAATGTACTTTGACAAGATAAATGATATACAATCTAAAAAAGATTGAGTTTAAGGAATATGATAATACTTTTTGCACTATTTCGAATTTGAATATTTTATCTTAGTAAGTCTTGCAGCAAATGTATATGGAAAAGTCGGTAACGAGTACCACGTTTAAGATATCGTAACAAGAAACTACTGTTCAACGGCAATTGCAAAGTAGAGTTAGACGTCCCAAACATACTGTTCTAAAATTTATATGATTGAATTCATATTTATTTCATCAAATAGTGGATTTATGAAAAAGTAGCAGATATCCCTAGCGGATAGAAGTTGCTCTTTTACCAGTGAGATTTTGAACATCTCAATGAGTAATGATCCACTGTTTCGTTCCAGCATCGAAAACTGCCAACGAGAAATAATTATGAGATTCTGTTTAATAAGTAACGAAAACATGCCTCAAAACCTGTAAGAGTAAAATACTTAATTAAAAGCTTAATTTCTATTGTATTGTTGATAAAATATAAATATCTGTCTGTTGTTCGTTACATATTATTATAAAATTCGCAATCAAGCTAACCCCAAGTCTCCTACAAAAGTGCTCAAGTTTGGACGTATAGGGTTGCCCATCCTTCGAACATTAAGATCACATGACAGCCGTTGAATTGCGCAAAAATAGTTCTTTCGAAGTACTTAACTAAGTTTAATTGAAAGAGTATCTTATTCTGACCATACAATAGAAACTTCAGATCAACATTTCATCTTTTGTTTCATCATAGTGCCGTTGGTTGTTCGTGTTGTGCGAGAGGAACTGTTTTTAGTGCTGATCTTGACAAAAGTGTGACGTGATAGTGACGGAAAGAGTCTCACACATCTTTAGTACTTATGTAGCAGGTATTTGGTGATGAACTGTAGCAAAATAATTACAGTAAAAATGTAGTATAAAAGTGTCTTTCAAACATCTGCACATTATCGTATTAATTGGTATTTTGTTTAACCAATACAATTTTGTCACGTGCCTCGATCTATACCATATCTTTTATGGTAAGACACATTGATGCTTTGTTCAGAAGCACTTTATCGACCGTTGATACGAAAGCTGTCATTCATGTTTTTGCAGTCACGAACATTCCAACGTCATATCATCTCTCTTTAGTCTTCGAAGCCTCGTTCTTAGTCACGTGTGATTTCTTTTTTTCGAAATTAATGTAAGGAATAAAGTCACATTTTCATCTAATCAACAAAATCCAACTAATTGTTTGCCTAAATATCTCAGTTAACTCCTCACACTCGAAAACTATAAACAATAGCCTGCATTCCTTATCATATGTGTCGCTTTCACTCTTTTATTTCTGTGTTTTTGACTCGCCAGTTTGTTTAGCTGAAATAAATTCTTTTGAATTTATTATAGGTATATATCTATAAAAATCTGTTGTTGCATTTTTTAGGTTTTATTTTTTCTAAACTAGCCAAGATTTTTGTTAATCATGGAGGAAGAGTATGATGTTATTCTTCTTGGAACCGGCTTAAAGGTATGCGAAGTACTTTTTAGCGTGAGCAATCTTTTGAGTGCCTCTTTTATGTTTAGGAATGTGTCTTGGCTGGATTACTCGGGGTTGCAGGAAAAAAGATTCTTCACATGGATCGTAACAAGTATTATGGCGGCGAGTCTGCATCAATGACGCCACTTGAAGATGTAAGTATTTACTTGTATGTTTAGAAGAGCATAAATCGTAGTAAATGTATCTTATTTTGTTGTAGCTCTACACCAAATTTAGTATGCCCCCTCCTCCGGCTGATACCGGACGTGGACGTGATTGGAATGTTGATCTCATACCAAAATTTTTAATGGCGAATGGTAATTTTAGCTAATTTTTCACATTCAAGTGGAATTTATTCATTTGAGTCTCTTATAGGTCTTTTGGTGAAATTATTGATTCATACAGGTGTAACACGTTATTTGGAATTCAAATGTATTGAAGGTAGTTATGTTTATAAGGGAAACAAAATTCATAAAGTACCAGCTGATGAACGCGAAGCACTTGCATCATGTAAGTTAATCAAAAGTATGTGTAAGAGAATAAGATGTTAAATCTTCTCGTTCATATATCTTAGCATTGATGGGCATATTTGAAAAACGTCGATTCCGAAATTTTCTCGTATTTGTCAATGAATATGATGAAAAAGATCCAAAAACATACAAGGACGTTCCACCACAAACAAAAATGGTGGATGCATTTAAAAAATTTGGTCTCGATCAAGATACAATTGATTTTACGGGTCATGCATTAGCTCTTCATAGCGATGATGAGTAAGAATTTGTCTCCAATGACTGATTTATCTAAGTTTTTTGAATTTCTTGTTATATTTTCTTCATTCTTTCTTTCTTTCTTTAGTTATCTAGACAAGCCAGCATTGGAATCGATAAAACGTATTAAACTTTATAGTGATTCATTGGCACGTTACGGAAAATCACCCTATCTTTATCCTCTTTATGGTCTTGGTGAACTTCCACAGGGATTTGCACGGTAAACATCTTTTTTTCGAAAATCAACTTAATACCTGGATCAGTTAGGGAAGTTACACAGGATTATACAGGCATTAAGGTATTCTTTTGCCACTAAACTTCGTTTATTTCATCAAGAAAATCATCAGACAGATTAATACTGTCTTTTTCATTTCAGTTTAAGTGCAATCTATGGTGGTACATACATGTTGGATAAACCAGTGGATGAAATTGTATTTGAAAATGGAGTTGTTGTAGGTGTTAGATCAGGTGATCAAGTTGCCAAATGTAAAGCGGTCATATGCGATCCATCGTATGCACCAGATAAAGTGAAAAAAGTTGGACAAGTCATCCGTGCTATCTGTTTGTTGCGTCATGCTGTCAATGTTGGTTCAAATAATTCACCTGGATCCATACAGATAATTATTCCACAAAAACAAGTACAGCGACACAATGGTAAGCAATAAAAAGAAGTGTCCATTCGAGTTTTGTTTGATATTTTTACTTTTGTAGATATTTATGTCTGCTGTATGTCACCTGCTAATATGGTCACACCTAAAGATTGGTACGTTGCATTGGTTAGTACAACGGTCGAAACAAACAATCCAGAAGCGGAAATAAAACCGGGTCTTGCTTTGCTTGAACCAATATTTCAAAAGTAACATAACACTCATTTTCGCTACAATGATTTTTATGTGTTTTGCTCTTTCAGATTTGTTACAGTAAGCGATTTATATGAACCAACTGAGGATGGTGTCAACAGTAAAGTGAGTGATATAAAATAATACTGATATTTTTTCTAGCTGCTCTTATCAAATATGTTACTTGAACTGCAGGAAATAGTTCTCAATAGTTTGAATGTTTATCTACCATTTTCTTCAATTTATCTATGTCATTTTAAAGAATTTTCTTGTCAATAGTCATTCACTTCCTCTACTTTTCTACTATAGAATCTGGAATGTTTTATTCTATTTTTTCTAGTTATTTATATCCAGTTCATACGATGCCACAACTCATTTTGAATCAACGTGTTTGGATATATTGGATGTTTATCGTAGAGTCACTGGCGAAGCATTTGATTTTACAAAAGTAACAAGAGGTTTGGATGCGGACGATAGTCAAGAAGGAGTGCATTAAAAAGTATTGATTGAAATAGTTATTTATTTATGTATGTGTCTCTGTCACATCATTGTTGTGGGAACTTTCTTATTTTTCTTTCTCGTGCGTTCATTTTTCGACGTCATGAATTTTTAAAATATAACAGCATTGATTCTTTTCTTTTATTTTAATGTTTCGTGTTTAAAGACGTTTTCCAAAACGCATTTACAGCCAACACTATTTTATGTTTTTTTTCCAGTGAAATAAGTCTAATTAACCAGATCAATACTCTTTCTTTAACGTTTGTTGTTGTTATTGTTCTTGTACTTTATTGAATGTAAAAAAAATTAGAAATGTGGTTTGGATGAAAAAGAAGCGAGAACACATTTTTTCTGTCAAGTGTTTGTTTCAATTAAAGCTGTACAAAATCGTTTATCTTTTTTATTCTCTTATGAACGATAAGCATTCCAATCTCCTACCCATATTATCAAACAAGATTAGGCTGAATTTTTTTCTGTAAGTTTTTCATAGTCTCTCCCTCTGTCTTCTTTCTTTTCCTCATCTCTCTAATAGTTCAATCTTGTTTTAACTGAGCCTTGCTATTTCTTTTACCAATTGCGATTAAAAATTTTGTTCTCTGTTCATTTTTATTTATAAGTGGGCTATGCACTATTTCGAAAAGTCATGTTTTATTTACATTATACATAGTATAAATTATTATTTGTTCATCAGAAAATATCTCTGTAATAACAGAAATGATGAAACAATGATTAAAAGATCATCCACAGACGATGCATGGTTGGTTTTATGTAAAATCGATGTATTTTTGCTTGGAACTTTGTGTCAAAGTCTTCTATGAAGTCGCTGGAAAACTCTAGTTACATTACGGTCCCTTGGAAAAATGGTCTGACTATGCTGAAATTTCTACAGTAGATACTTCAGACCTTATCTCATGCTGTAATATTATTCAAAAAATATGTGTTAATTCTCAAGCTAATCGAAAAATACTGAAAATTTCGTCTAAAAACTCGTTTTTTTCATATGCTATGAGCATGAGTAAATAGTGTTTTTTTCTTCTATTCTTTTATCTTATTAATAATACAAAGTAGAGAAAAAAAAGAAAAAGTCACCGAAAACACTTGTAAGCATATGCTTTTTATTACATATGCTACATATGTGTGTACACATGCCCAACGGATAAAACGTGTTCGATAACCTAAAAAGAATATAACTTTTTTAAGTACTAATTATATATTTTATCCAGGAAAAGAAGAAAACTGAACTAATCTCAAACGATTTCTGCAGACCCTTCTGGAAACCCTTTTTTTGGTTGTTTCAGACTCTAGTACTATTGTGACTTGAAAGAGGACACATTAAAGTACTTAAATTAGTCGAAAGTCAAAAAGTCGGATTTTTGAAAGAGTGAGAGAGTGCTCTTAAGGTTCCGAGACTTTTAAAACTTACTGGAACAAAAATCATTGGAGTAGTGCTTGAAAACATCGGGTATGTATCAGAGCTCCGTATGGACTGGACTGAAAGGGTTTGAGCTCATGCGCTCAGACTAGACTGGATTCAAACTTTCAAGATCATGGACTGGTTTGGACTCGAAAAAAGTTCGAAGAATAATCAGTAAAAAACATGTTGTTTTTGTATTGTGGACTGGACCGGGTTACTTTTTTAGAATCCACGGACTGAAAAAGTGTTTTTCATGGACTGAGTCAATACGGAGCTCTGGTATGTATAATGTATTATACATAATAAGAATCGTTGCATTGAACATACACAATAAAGTTTGACTTTGAGTCTCCTTCTAAGAAGGGACTACGATATTTCATAATCAAGTACAAAGTAAAGTGGGAACGTCTAGACTCAATGTACTCATTTGGAGCTGTATTTCATTTGATATTTTCTCCCTTAAATCAAAAATCGACGAGGCTATTATTTCTTTGAAATAGTCATATTTAATATTCTAGATTAGAAGGAACAGTAGTATTCAAAACCTTTTTTCTCCATCATTATTAAGTAGTTATAAAAAATTACGTAATAGTTTCTGATGAATTACGTAAATCAAAACGTATCCATTTAACAGAACTATCAGAACACTTCAAAGCTCCTCACGGCTTGTCCACGTAACTCGACACTTCGCTGATCAAGTTTTTGAAAAAATTATTTTCGAGTAGAACTGAAAGGAGCATATCACTAGATGCAGTTTTTGGTGCTGATTACGAATCTCGCATTATTTTTTTTTAAAAAGTTAAATTTTGGCACCAAAAATCCAGTTTTACATTTTTTGAAAACTGTATTTTCAATTTCCTCACCTATACACTTTTCCTAATAAAAATGGAAGTCGAGAGAGAATTCGATTCTTTACAAGATGGTATGTTTCTTTTGAAGTTTAGACTCAAAACAAGCTTTTTAATAAAGTTTTAAGTTTTAAGATTCTCACACAATTCTAGGAAAGTGAAAACATTTTTTCAGCTTTATTTTCACGTTAGTCCATATTAGATGCCTAAAACTAAGTCCGATGTGAAAATGAAATCCTTTGAGCAATGCTCCAAACAATAGTGCTTCAAACTTTGTTGGGAAAAAAGTGTGTCACAGCGTCACGGCGATAAAACATAATTATTGAGGGATAGAAAGCTCATTGGAAAAATTCTTCTTTAGCAATCAGTACCTCATTTACTCCTCTACAAACTTTGCTCGAGGTGCTTTTTATTAGCTCTTCTAAATTCGCAACAAATTAGCTTTTAATGAGAAGAACTCGAATTTAGGGCCTTTTTTTTGTCACAGCTTCACGCGCTGAAAAACGGTTCTAAAAATTCGAGTCTTTAACCACATACCTTTATTTTTAAAACGAAAGTAGAGTATGGCGAGCTGCGTCGGATAGTGCAAGAACGAAGTTTCTAGCTCTTACACTTTTTGAGAAAAGCTCAAATTACTGTGTCAAAAATGTCACAGCGTCACGCTTGGACAAGTCGCTCAATAATTTTGCAGTAAAATAAAGGACGGGAACGTATAAGGTTAGAAATCGGCCCACCCCTTTTTCGAGTAAAAATGGTTTCCTATCAACGAAAAACGCAGCAGTATTCAATACCAGATGACATCAGATACATTTGTTCACTAGAATCCCGTTAATTTCTGGACCATTCTCATCGGCAACCTCAAAATCAGCCCTACATGATGAGTAAACTCTACTTCTCTCATCTTTCTTACACTCAAAGTGACTAACAAAGCACACGAATCGATAGCTCCACAAACTGAGCTAGTCAGAACATCTTAACTGGTTGAGCCACTCACTGTAGACATGCAAAAGAAACGTTCGAGTAACGCTTTTTCGCCAAACTGCTGTCGATTTACGAATGGCTACAAAGGGCGTGAAAATTACTAAAATATACCGATGAAAAGGTGAGTGGCTCAACCAGTTAAGATGTTCTGACTAGCTCAGTTTGTGGAGCTATCGATTCGTGTGCCTTCTTAGTCTCTTCGAGTGTAAGAAGGATGAGAGAAGTAGCGTTTACTCATCATGTAGGGCTGATTTTGAGGTTGCCGATGGGAATGTTAGAAAGGATGGTAATAAAGCTGCATCAGCTAACGCCTCTAAAGCTAAAAACTTTTTAATACGTATTTTTGTGAAGGTTTCATTCCTAAGCAAGGGTCATGTCCTTATCCATCAACAGTTATTAACGACACGTTTGTTATTCATCCACTATGGAAGAAAACTATTTTAAGTATACTCAGTAAGGTCCTTGAACGTTTTATACATAAACAACTTTTCGCTTATTTATCTAAATATACTTTTTTTTCTACGTCACAATTTGACTTTCGTTCTCAATCATCAACCGTAGACGCAGTTCTATACATCACACACTCAGTCTATACAAATTTAGATGAAGGAATTGATACTATGCTTGAACAATTCAACTTCGAGAAAGCTTTCGATCGTGCTCCTCATCAGCAGGCCTGTAGCCAGGATTTTTGCGAAGGGGGGAATCAATTTTTTGCCTTCAGAGATATGTGAAGCATTATCAACTAACAACTTTTTTTGACGGGATTCAATGGAAAAAAATCATTTCTTAAAAGTCCAAGGAGGTTGGGGGGATCGGTTCCCCTAATCCCCCCTGGTTGCGGCCCTGCTCATTAGATTCTCTTGACAAAACTTTCTTCTGTGGGAATAGCGGACTCTGTATTGCAACGATTTTCTAGTTATTTATTCCAAGCGTTCCCAACGAGTGCATATTGGATACTCTTTTTCAGACAAGGTCTTTGTTCCATTCAGTGTGCTCCAAGGCCCAATCCTGCGATCACTTTTCTTGTGTTTATCAATTACTTGGTGAGTAGTATTGTTCGGTTGTTTGCAACACTAAATTTTCTATTGTTAAAAAACTTTTCTTTTAAAAATGGTGGGAAAAGTTACTACATACATGGCGTCCACATGAATGAGCTACACACGAATATGCAGTCCATTTTCACTAAGGACCCAACGTCTAAGAAATAATTTATAGTCAAATTTATTTAATTTCCATGAGTGAAAATAATATTTCTGAGATCAGAATGTATAAACTTTTTCTGTATTTCCTTTTCGAAACTTCATTTATATACAATCAATCTCACTTTTCACATTGTGAAAGTCCATTAAATCATTAAATAAATATTTGTAGATTTTTATAGTCTTCACCGTTTAAGAAAGAAAAACGGCAATAACAAGAACAACGATAATAATAATGATATACGCGAACATAAATCAGACTAAGATATTATTGCTAGAAAAACGATCCAAAATAGAACCTGAACAAACAGAAAATCATCAGGATTAGCTAATAAGAACGAATATTATATGTAAAGTGGCTTTTTCTAGGAAATAAAGTCTTTTTATTTACTGAATACCATAAAAAATTTGATAAATAAACATATCTAAAATGCAAATTAGTCAAATTGGATATCTAACAATAGTTTGAGAGTTTTTTAAACACTCTAAATGTAAAAAGATTTAATTTGATACAAAAAATCACTGACGAACTGCAGCTTTTGAGTTTCAACAATTCTGTGAACTTTCAATGATACTCTACAGGAAACTGCAAGTAAACCCGTGCGCTGATAAAAATTTTTTGGCAGCGGCGAATTAATTTTTGAACAGCGGCAGCATCGGTGGAAGACTCTGAAAATTCCTCCATCTTTGGCAGTGGTGGCGCATATCTCTGACTACAAATATTTATTTAATGATATTTAATGGACTTGTACAATGTGAAAAGTACGAATGATTGTATTGAAATGACGTTTCGAAAAGAAAATACAGAAAAGTTTATACATTTTGATCTTAGAAATGCTATTTTCACTCATGGAAATTAAATAAATTTGACTATGAATTATGGGGAAAATGTGTTTTGTTCACCAAATTTCTTTCTATCGATTTGATCACCAAAAAATAACACTTTTGATCACCAAATCAATTAAAGAAAATATGTATATAAGTAGAGTATATAACAATTAATTAGCTATGATTATCAATTAATGAGTAGACAAGCATGAAAAAGAATATAAAGAAAGTATATACAAGAAGAAATATTAGCAGAACGGAAGCTTAATTTCAATAGTTGAAATTTTCTGAAATTTTTGTCAACTCAGAAATGGTTATAAATAACTAGCATAACCTGTACATGATACCATCAACAAAATGTCGAAGCAAAAATGAAACGTTTTGTGCACAGTCCAATCTTATGATGAAGCCAAAGAATTATCCAAATCTCAATACAACGTATGTCGAATAGTTTTGTTGCTATAAATTTCTTTTCCTTATTTTCCTTTATTCAGTTGTATATTAATAAATTAAACTTTCATACATATTCTTTTTCTTGTCTTTCTACTCACTAATTGATAATCATAGCTAATTAATTGTTATATATTCTTCTTATATATATTTTCTTTAATTGATTTGGTGATCATTTCGAGACAAAGAAATTTGGTGATCAAAAAAATACATACCCTTGAATTATTTCTTAGACATTAGGTCCTTAGTGAAAATAGATTGCCTCCCTATTCAGGGCAGACGTCTGTATGTAATAACTTTCCCACCATTTTTGAAAGGTCCTTTGCTGCACTGATTATATTAAAAAAGTTTGATATTTTTGAAAAACTGTCACTGCCAACAGCATAGATTTGTTCAAGCAGAGGCTAAAGGGCTTCTTAGCGATTTAATAATTTTTCTTTTCTCTCCTCTTTGTTTCTTTTCTTCGTTGAAGTTAGAAGAGTACAATAAGGGCAGTATGCGCTTTTTCGGTTTTTCCCCTGCGACCACGTTTTTTGATTTTGGTTTATTGTATTTGCTCGTTTTTCTTTTTGTTGTCAGATAAAGGTTAAAGTCAAAGTTAAATCTCGTGTTATATGGTGTATTGCTTCTCAAAAGCAAATTTGTGTTTTGGGGTTCATCAATGGAGTGTAATAAAAATTTATCTAGTAATAATTCTTTCAAACGGAGACGAACAAGCTATGAGTCAGATATAAACGAACAAACCTACATACGATCAGAGTAAATAGAACTCGTTCATTATTTATCTAGGTTACTTTTTCGATTTACATTGATACTTTCTTTCGTTAGTAGTTATTCTTCAATTAATAACAAAGAAGTAAAAACAGACAAGGATATCATTAATTCTGAAACAACTTTTGATGATTTAACAAAAAATAATCGAATACAACCAAAAATCAAGCCAACTGAAGTGCAGCAACAAACGGTATGTTTAGCGAGAACCATCGGGTATGTGTCAGAGCTCCGTATGGACTGGACTGAAAGGGTTTGAGCTCATGCGCTCAGACTAGACTGGATTCAAACTTTCAAGATCATGGACTGGTTTGGACTCGAAAAAAGTTCGAAGAATAATCAGTAAAAAACATGTTGTTTTTGTATTGTGGACTGGACCGGGCTACTTTTTTAGAGTCCACGGACTGAAAAAAGTGTTTTTCATGGATTGAGTCTATATGAAGCTCTGGTATGTATAATGTATTATACATAATAAGAATTGTTGCATTGAACATACACAATAAAGTTTGACTTTGAGTCTCCTTCTAAGAAGGGACTAAGACATTTCATAATCAAGTACAAAGTAAAATGGGAACGTCTAGACTCAATGTACTCATTTGGAGCTGTATTTCATTCGATATTTTCTCCCTTAAATCAAAAATCGACGAGGCTACAATTTCTTTGAAATACTCGCCCCTTATTTCTTAGTATGCATGGTTCCTTGATTGATATACCCGTAATTTTCTTTAGAATTCTTCAACATCCATAACAACGCGTTTTCCGGTCGCGGTTTATTTTGACCTTAAAGAAAAATTTATTTGTGATCAATCGTCGATATCAGTAAAACCTGACGAAGCTCTAAGCGAATGTTTGTTATCTGCAACTATCTTGGCGAAAGAGGGTAAACCATCTTGATTGTCCATTTTTGAATTGATATGTACCATCCATTATTTATCTGTAGGTATTATCAATCAAGATCGTCATTGTACTTACTTTATCAATAGTTTAGTACCGCAAATATTTCACCATGTAAGATGAGATGCGCAGTGATTATTTTCTTTATCAAACAAATGTACCTTTGTTATAGTTGTTGACAACAGATCCTTATCGCAATCCCGGTGGTGAAGTAGCAAAAAACATCTTTAATATACTTGAGATTTTAATCGATTTGATAGCTGCACGATTATCGTATTTTCCTGTGCCAGTGAATCTGTTGGAATGTTTAACATTAGCATTTAGTTATGATACACTATTTCAACGTAAACATGTCATGCAACCATATGAAAAATCAAAAGACCTAGATGATAAATATATCTTAACGTTCCCAGCGGTGCCATTTTCAACGAGCAGACCAGGACAGAATGGATGGCTATGTTCATTGATCGATCGAGTATGTCGTCTTTGAGACCGTTTCTTTCTATAATGAGATTTATACCTGGTATTCTCTTTGTTACCAGTTTGTAAAAAAAAATGGCGTTATTAATTTGAAAACACAATTTAATAATGGAAATTTAACAACGAGAGTATATCAAAATCATTATCTTTGTTTCTGAACTACTCAAGAGATAATACACATATTTTAGGAATATACTGCATTATTATCACCCTTTACCAACTGTTTGGAATATGTGATCAGTGATAAATATCGGCAATTATTCGCTTTACATTTTGAGCAAGCTCTTGAACATATTAAAGGTTTAGTAAAAGCAGATTTAGAAATAAAGGTAAGAGAAATCAAATCACCGGATCAACTATAGGATTTCACGATTAACTGACATATTTTTTTAGTCGACAAAAGCTGTGTTTGCATTATTCGGTACACTTAGAAAAGTAGCTTCTCAGCTTTTGAAGGATCGTCTTGAAACTATTGAAGAATTGCAGCTGAATTTTACCTTGAAAATGATACACTCGTCAAATTCCAAAGCGAAAATGGCATCTCTAAAGGACGTGAGTGAATAGCATAGTATTTCTTTTATTTGTTTCTCTTTCTAATAATAAACTTCCATTCTAGGTATCAAACTTAATCCATATAGGACGAGACTGTTCCAAAGATTCATCGGCACGAGTAAGATGAAATATGAATTGCATTCCAAGACGTTTGTATCACTTTCTTTTCTTCGGCTAGATTTTAGAAGTTTTGTGGTCTATGGCACACGAAGAACGTATTACTCGA